ATACTATAATTGAATTCTTGCGAAGAATTTTATTAAGATTTTTGAAAATAATTGAATAATTCCATTACATAAATTTCACAAATAATGAAATTCTTCGCAGAAATTCAATTATGTTCAAAAATTTTTAAAAAATCAATTATCTTTATAAATAATAAAATTCTTCACCAAAATTCAATTATTTTGAAGATTTTTAATAAAAGTCTTTACAAAAAATTCAATTATTTTCTTAAATAACAATAATCATCTCGAGAATTCAATTATTTTCAAGAATAATAATAATAATAACAATTATATTTAAAATAACTGAATACTTGTAAATTATTAAAAAAAAAAATTTTAATAATTCAATTCTATTAGAATTTTTTATTAAATTTTTTGAAAATAATTGAATTCCTCCGAAGAATTTTATTGTTTATGAAAATAATTTAATTCTTTCGAAGAATTTTATTGTTTATAAAAATAATTGAATTCTTGCGAAAAATTTTATTAAGATTTTGGAAAATAATTGAACAATTCAATTACATTTCACAAATAATGAAATTCTTCGCTGAAATTAAAATATTTTCAAAATCTACAATTTTAATAAAATTTCTCAAAAGAATTCAATTATTTTAAAAAAATGTTATAAAATTTGCTGCAAGAATTGAATTTTTTTCAATTACATATTAAATAACACAATTCTTCACAGAATTTCAATTATTTAAAAAAAAATTTAATTTTAATAAAATTCTTTACAAAAAGTTCAATTATTTTCTTAAATAACAATAATCATCTCGAGAAATCAATTATTTTCAAAAATAATAACATTCTTCGCAGAAATTCAATTATTCTAAATACTATTTTAATAAAACTTCTCGAAAGTTTTGTTTCCCTTCAAAAGTCAATTTTTATGATTAAAAAAAAGTGTAATAAAATTAAATTATCTTTCTCTCTCTCTCTCTCTCTCTTGAAGAAAAAGAGAATTAAAAATAATTTATTAGCTAGAGTTTAAATTGAAATCGTTTTTAATTGATTAAAAAAAAGTTGCTAACGAGGAAAATATTATCACGATGATGAATGAAAGAATCGGCTCGATCACGAACTTTTCGTGATTAATAATACCCACAATATCAAAGCTTACAGCCGACAATCAAAAACTGAGGGGAAAAAATATCGTAATTCGATTTTATAAAAAAAAAACTGTTTTACTTTACTACCTAAAGTAATTCCATGTTAATTATTTCATTAGCAGATAAGTATAACGGTTTTTGTGAATGAGAAAGAGGTTAGAGGTTGTTAAAAATTTGTCGAGACTTTAAGGTCGATTGGAGTTCGTAACTTTTTTTTTTCTTTTTTTTTGAGGCCCTTAAAAGTGAAACTCCTTTATAAGGCCCCTTAGGGTGAAACAGAGAGAGAGGCCGCGACAATTAGTGGCTTGTTAATGTGATTAATCGCAGTGACTGAAAGCCGACAAAGGAACCGTGATACCACTTATTTTGTAATATACACGGTGACAACTGAAAGCGAAATCCGGTTCTTCTTTGACGTCTCTTGAAAACGAGGGAGTAAAATAAAGTAGTAATGTGTGGATGTAAAAAGTAAAGCAAGACGGAAATTTAGTTTTCAAATTAAAATATTATTTCTTTTTCTCAGCGATAATTTGAAATTCAATTTTTACGTTATTTCTCAAATATTTTCATTTCAATTTCATTTTTCTTTCTTTTTTTTTAATAAAAATTAAATCATTATTATTTTTCCAAAGGAATTAAAATTCATCAAAAGATTCAAATTCAAACTTTTTTGAAATTTAACAACTTATAAAAATATTAAAATATTAAAATTTTTGAAATTAATTAAGTTCCATCAAAGAATTTTTATTAATTATGAAAATAATTGAATTTCTGCTAATAAGGTTTCTAGTTTTTTATGTTATTGAATTTTAGAGAAGAATTTTATTGCAAGTTCTGAAAATAATTGATTTCCTGCACGGACTTTTATTATAATTTTTTAAAGTAATTCAATTCCATCGAAAATTTTTAATAAAATTTTTGAAAATAATTGAATAACAGAGAAAATTTTTTATTAAAATTTATAAAAATAATTCAATTCTTGCGAATAATTCCCTTAAATTTTTTTTTAAATAATTGACCTTCTGAGAAGAGCTATATTAGAATTTTTGAAAAGAATTGAATTTTTGCAAATGTTTTTAGTTTTTAAAAATAATTGAATTTTTGAGAAGAATTTTATTAAAATTGTATTGAAAATAATTGATTAAAAAAAAAAAAATTTTTTTTTTTTCTTTTTTCTTCTTTTTTTTCTTTTTTTAAATTATTAAAATTTGTTTAAATAATACAATTTGATTTGAATTTTTTATTACAATTTTTTTAAATAATTGAATTTCGGAGAAAATTTTTTATTAATTATGAATATAATTGAATTACTGCGAATTTTTCATAGGAATTTAATTATTTTTAAAAGTGTTAATAAAATTCTTTTCAAGAATTCAATTATTTTCACACATAATATAATTTTTCACCATAATTCAATTATTTAAAAATAGTTTTATAAAATTCTTCCCGAAAATTCAATTATTTTCACAAATAATAAAATTCATTGTAAAATGTCAATTATTTTAAAGTATCGTATTAAAATTCTAAAGAATTATTTCATTCTTTCAAAGAATTTCATTAGAATTTTAAAAATAATTAATTTTTATTGAGAAATTTTTTAAAAATTGTATTCTATTTAAAAATTTGTATTTACAGATGCTGTAGGAACCCTGAACATTTTTTCTTCTTTTGTTAGGCATTTAGCTTCATTATTTTTTGGGATCTTTAAAAATACTTTACTTATTTAATAGTCTCTACCCTTTCGTAAAAAATCTAAAATTATCGAAAATTATCAAAAATTCAAAAATCCGAATTTCTTAAAATTCAACATTTTTTCTTCTCTTTTATGGGATTTAGCTTCATTATTTTTGTGCTTTTGGAAAATACTTTACTTATTTAATAGTCTCGACTTTTTGGTAAAAAATAAAAAATTATCGAAAATTATCAAACATTTAAAAATCCGAATTTCTTAAAATTCAACATTTTTTCTTCTCTTTTATGGGATTTAGCTTCATTATTTTTGTGCTTTTGGAAAATACTTTACTTATTTAATAGTCTCGACTCTTAAGTAAAAAATAAAAAATTATCGAAAATTATGAAAAATTCAAAAATCCGAATTTCTTAAAATTCAACATTTTTTCTTCTCTTTTATAGCATTTGGCTTTATTATTTTTGGGCTCTTAAAAAATACTTTACTTATTCAATATTCTTCAATCTTTCGTAAAAAATCTAAAATTATCAAAAATTATCAAAAATTCAAAAATCCGAATTTCTTTAAATTCAACATTTTTTCCTCTTTTTTATGGGATTAAGCTTCATTATTTTTGTGCTTTTGAAAAATATTTTACTTATTCAATATTCTCCACTCTTTCGTAAAAAATCTAAAATTATCGAAAATTATCAAAAATTCAAAAATCCGAATTTCTTAAATTTCAACATTTTTTCCTCTCTTTTATGGGATTTAGCTTCATTATTTTTGTGCTTTTGGAAAATATTTTACTTATTTAATAGTCTCGACTTTTTGGTAAAAAATAAAAAATTATCAAAAATTCAAAAATCCGAATTTCCTAAAATTCAACATTTTTTTCTCTTTTTTATGGGATTTAGCTTCATTATTTTTGTCCTCTTGGAAAATACTTTACTTATTTAATAGTCTCGACTTTTTGGTAAAAAATCCAAAATTATCGAAAATTATCAAAAATTCAAAAATCCGAATTTCTTAAAATTCAACGTTTTTTCCTCTCTTTTATGGGATGTAGCTTCATTATTTTTGGGCTCTTTAAAAACACTTTACTTATTTAATAGTCTCATAATATATTTATGAATATAATTGAATTTCTGCGAAAAATAATTAAACTCAACTTAAAATTTGTATTCAAATTTTTTTATGATAATTAAATTCCATCGAAGAATTTTGATTAATTATAAAAATAATTGAATTCCTCTCCAAAGAAAATCTTGTAAAAATTCGAATAAAGAATAAATAATTGAAAATGAAGAGAATTGTTTTTCTTTTTTACTGAAAGTGCGCACCCAAAGGAAGAATATATCGGCGAGCAAGGGACAGTGAAGAGAGCTGATAGCACACATTGGATCACAAGCGTACAAATACAAGAACGGTGAACGATCAATGAGCCGTATCCTGCTAAACTGTTAAGAAGGAAGTGGTTCATTGCTGCACGCTCCATGTCCACATTTTGCTCTTGCTAGCATCGAAGCTACGTATACCATTGTACGCTGCTCTTTGCTGCTTTATGTCTCTAGAAGTCGCCTTTGGCGCCGTATACCTTCGCAAAAAAAGATGTTCTTCACATCTGCCGACGATACGGCCGGAAATGCTCGCGAAAAATTCAGAGCGAAACCGTTTCAGTCTCTTCTCCTTCTCCTCCACCTCCTTCAACACTCTTTTCTCTTCATGCATTCTCGTGTTACAATTAAATTCTCTTTAAATATTTCATCCATTTCTATTTATAATGCAGGAAAAATTAAACCTTCAAAGAAAACTTCCTTCTTTCGCTTTGCAAATTATTTTTCCTCCTTAAACTTTAGTTTCTATACTTTAGTTTCGAAAATTTACTTTTTAAATCCACTTTTCCGTTATAATACTTACACCGCGAATGCAGTTATTTGTTTTTTTTGCGTTACAAAATGAGACTCTTTTTCTTCGTGGAAAAAAATAGTACGGTATTTCCGATTGAATAGATTTGTTTCTGAACGCGAATTTATTTTTTATCCAGTTCAATTTTTTTTCGTTTTTTAAAAGAAATGGTTTTTTTTCCTAACCGTTACTATTTATGCTCTATTTCCGTTTGTTTGTTTCACTTAATTTAGTCGTAGAAATTTAGGGTTTTTCTCAATTTAGAAATGAATTGAGAAAAAAGGAGTTCGATTGAAAATGAAAATTTGACTCACCGGTATTTTGCTGCTCTTCAAGAAATCCAAAAGCGCCTCCAAAGCTCCTAGAGTCGATGCCTGAACGAAAACACCTCGCTCGGCAAGTTTTATGTTTCCAAGAACGTGAGTCAACTCCTGAGCGATTTCATCTCGAAGAACCTCCACTTCGTCTGGTTTCTGGGCGACTTGAAGATTCAAACCTATTTTCAACATTCAATTATATTTTAATCGCCCTCAAAATTTGACTAACATGAAAATACTTTTTTCGCTTTTAAAATTTTGTTTTTGCTTTCAAAATAATGTTCTTGGTATCAAAATATTGTGTTTTATATCAAAATATTGGTTTTTGATATCAAAATATTGATTTTTGATATCAAAATATGGTTTTTGATATCAAAAACAGTTTTCCTACCGGCAATCGCTTTCTCGAGATCCTTGGCGGCAATTTTAACACCTTGAGCGGCTTTAATCTCCCGATACTCTTGGTACGCATTCTGCAAAAATAAAAATAAGTTTTTAGTGTCGAAATAATATTTTAGCAATTATTTAAAAAAGGATTTTGATAATTTTTTCCTACTTTGACTCTCAATTCCTTCAGAGGCTGTGGCATGAGAAGGGATCGAATTTGCGTAACAATCGGTCCATCCGTTCCAGCGACAATCATTGTGTCGCCTTCCTTCAACATTCCATTGACTAGAATGCAATCTATTGTCGTTCCGAGTCCTGGAAGGGCTTTAACTTCCAAAACAGTCGCTTGCAATTCCTCACTGTACATCAATCTCTTGGCCAATGGACCTTGACAAGCGTCGACGAGCAATGCCAGAAGATTTCCCATTCCCTCTCCTTTCATTCAAAAGAAAATTTCAAATTAAATCAGTTCCTCTTCTTCTTGATTTGAAACAAAATAAAATAAAGAAAATAAATAATATAAAATTTTTCTTTACCTGTTATGGCACTGGTTGGAATCAGGGAAACATAACTCCTTGAATCCGGATTCTCGTAAAATAATGCTGCATTTAAGCCCTGCTCGGCAAATTGAACAATCACATCCTTGTAACGTTTTTCAAATTCCCTCTGTGTATTCATTGACTGTGCTTTAATGATGTCCTGTACATCTTTTCGATTCATTGTATTCCAATCGTAGAGCCTGTCAATCTTATTAAGTGCAACGACAAAGGGACATTTCTTTGTTTTCAATAGATTTATACTCTCTATGGTTTGAGGTTCGAGTCCATGCATAATATCCACTACTAAAACGGCAATATCACAAAGAGACGATCCACGATTTCGCAAATTACTAAAAGACTCGTGGCCCGGTGTGTCAATGATCAGTAGACCAGGAATTTTTATTTTCTTGTCTGCAAACTAAAATAAAACAATTAGTGTCAAAAAATATAAATATATATATAATTACAAATTTACTATTTTTTAATTATTAATTAATAAACAAAAATTTTCAATAATTTTGTGATAAAACAAAGGTTCAAAGTTTTCAAAAATAATTGATTTAAGGGGATTTGAACCTTGATGACGTCACAGTTTGTGCAAAGCATTAGTTTTAAATCTGTGACGTCATCATGGTTCAAATGCCCTTAAAGAAGAATTTTAGTTAAAATAATCTAGAGTATAATAATCTTCTAGAATTTTTAACTAAAATTCTTCTTTAAATCAATTATTTTTAATAATTTTTGAAAAAGTTCTTTTAGAATTTTTAAATCCATTTGTACAATTAAAAAAAAAAAAAAAATTCTAACAAACTTTTTCAAAAAAAATAATTCTACAGAATTGTTAATTAAAAGTTAGAAAAATTCAAATTTTCAAAGATTTTCATTCAAAACCTTTTCAAAATTCAATTATTTCTAAAAAAAAAAATTCACGCTATAATACTTTTAATATTTAATTATTATCCAAAATTTTAACAGAAATTCATTTTTACATCAATTTTTATTAGAAAATTCTAGGAAAGTTCAATTATTTAAATACAAATTAAATAATTTATTAAATAATTGAATGTGTTTTAAAATTTAATTCTCATCAACAAATTTTTAAATAATTAAATTCTTTCGACAAATTTAAATAAAATTTTTCAAGAACATTTTTACATTTTTCGAGGAATTTGATTAAATTCAATGATTTAGATTGATTTAAATTCAATTAAATTCAATTATTTTCAAAAATTTTAATAAAATTCTTGGCATAAATTAAAAATAACAAAATTCTTTCCAGAAATTCAAAAATAAATGAAATCCTGCTATGAGTTTTATTTATGAAAATAATTAAATTCTTCAGAAGAATTTTATTAAAATTTTCAAAAATATTGGTAAAAAAATTTGTTTTTAAGAATTCAATTATTTTTAATACGATTTAAATGAAATTCTTCGAAAGAATTAAATTATTTTCAGAAACTTTAATTGTACCCTTTGAAAGAATTCAATTATTTTCACTATTTTAATAAAATTCCTGTATTGAATTCAATTATTTAAAAAAATTATAGTAATATTTAGAGAAGAATTCAATTATTTCTTACAAATTTTAATAAAGTTATTAATTACACTTATTAACGAAATTAATTGTATCGCAAGAATTTAAATATTTTCGTTAAATAATAAAAATCATTGAAAAAATTCAATTCTTTACAAAGAAGTCTTAATTAAATTCTTTGCAAGAATTCAATTATTTTCATAAATATCAAAATTTTCGTTTAAATTCAAAAATTTTCAAAAGTTTTGATAAAACTTTTTCGTCCGAATTCAATTATTTTTAATACGATTTTAAAAAAATGTTTCGATAAGATTCAATTATTCTTAAAGTTTTAATTAAATTCTTCGAAAGAATTCAATATTATTCTTAAGATTTTTGTTTCTATTCTTTATAAAAATTAAATTATTTCGGATACAATTTTAATTGAATTTCATGAAAGAATTTTAAAAGTTTGGAAAATAATTGAAATTTTCTAATGAATTTTATTATTTGCAAAAATAATTAAATTTTCGTTAAGAATTTCATAAATAATGGTTTAAATAATTGAATTCTGTGTTTAAATCGAATTATTTGTGAAAATAATTAAAATTTTGCTAAGGACTTTCTTAAAATTTTTTAACATAATTGAATTGTGCAAAGAATTTATTACAATTACAGAATAAAATTGAATTTCTGGGAGGAATTTTATTAAAATTTACGAAATTTATAGTGATGGACGTTAAAAAAACAATCACTAATATTAATTAAAATTGTATTGAAAATAATTGAATTCTTGCAAAGTATTTTAAATAAAATAATTAAAATTTTTACAACAATTGTACAAATTTAAAGAATAATTGAATTCTTTGGAGAAATCCTATTGAAAATAATTGAATTCATGCGAAAAATTCAAAATAATTGATATTCTGCAAATATATTTATCAAAATTTTCAAAAATAATTTAATTCAGATATTTTATTAAAATTGTATCTGAAAATAATTGAATTCTTGTAAAGAATTTGGAAAATAATTGAATTTTTGACAAATTTATAAAAAATGTTAAGAATAATTGAATTTTTTTTGAAAATAATTAAATTAATTCTTATTTTTATGAATTTAATTATTTTCAATAAAATTTCTAATTCATTGAAAATTGAAATTATATCAAAGTTTAAATTAAAACCTTTTGAAGTTCCTCTATCTATGAAAATTTTAAACGCAACTCTTTTTAGATTGAATTAATTTTGAAATATTGAAGTAAAATTGTTCATTAAAAAGTTTGATGATACTTTTTCAAGAATTAAGTTATAAATAAATTATTGTCCGAAATAGAAAAAATTGAAGGTTTTTTATTAGAATTCGTGATAATTTTATAGTTTATGAGGCAAACTACTTTCACTGACTTCCCTGACCTATGCCAACTCAGATAATAAATAAATAAATAAAATAAATGTGACTCTTTCCGGTGAAAGGAACTTTACGCGACAAAAATTAGTTTATATTTACAGGATTTTTATACAAAATAGTCGATCTTTTTCCCTTTAACCAAAAAGACATAATAATAATAATAATAATTTTATCAGCTGGAAAATAATAAATAAACTTTTATCAACTCACTCCTTTGACATGCTTGGTAGAATCCTGAATTGCTTCAATAGGCACATTCGTTGCTCCAATTTGTTGCGTGATTCCACCGGCCTCACCGTCCTGAACATTCGTTCTTCTAAGTTTGTCCAAAATTTTCGTCTTTCCAGTATCTACATGCCCCAAAACGCAAACCACAGCTGCCCTTAAATCGTCCAAATGCTTCTTCTTCTCAGCCTCAATTCTTCGCGTTTCTATTCTCAATCTGGCTCTTTCTTTTTTACGCTCAGCGTCCGTCATTTTATCCTCCGTACTACTATCGTCCTCACTCTCTCCCTCGGAATCCGAACCAGACTCAGTGTCCATATCCGAATCACTCTCAGAAGATTCTTTCGCTGGCGTTTCCTCCTTGGATGTTGTTTTATCAGTCGACTTCGGATCTTCCTCCGATTTATCTAAACAATGAAAATTAATTTTAGAAAATTGGCAAATAAAAGAAAAGTAGAAAATAAATAATTGGCAAATAAAAGAAAAGTAGAAAATAAAAGAAGAAATAAATACCTTCTTCGGCTTCATCGCTCGAATCTGCGTCCCAAGAATCTTTGACTTCGTCCTCCTTCTTTATTTCTTCGACTTTTGGTTGTTGATCGACTATTTCAACTTGCACTTCAGTTGAATTTTCATTCGTTTCCATTTTCTTCTTTTCGTCTGCCTCCTCAATGCTGACTTGAGATTTCATTTTATTTGGTTTGACTCTCGTTCCTGGCCTTGGCCTCTTCTCCGCTATCTCGGGCATTATTCCCTGAGCTTTCAAGGCCTCAAGCATTGCCTGTGCTCGTTGCTGTGCCTGCTTTTGTTTTGGAGTCAAAAATTTACCCTCTGCTTTCAATCTCTCCTTTCTTTGTTTCTCCTTTAATTTCTTCTTATCCTTTCGCTCCTGCTCCAATCTTATCTGTTCTAAACGCGCCTGTTCACGTAATTCATCCTGACGAATTTTCTCCTCTTCCTCGCGCTCTAAACGCTCCTCTTCCTCTTTGGCTTTCTTCAATGCCTCCTGCATCGCGAGAATTGTCTTCTTTCCTGGCCCTTTTCCTGAAAGTGATTAAAAAGAATATTTAAAAAAAATAACTCGTTCAAAAGTTTCAGTATTTTTCTAAAATTCATATGAAAAGACTTTGTCTTTTCATACAAATTTTAGAAAAATACTTGGAAAAGTAAAAAAAAAATTTAGAAAAATAAAGTAATAAAATAAAAATAAAAAAAATCGAAAAATAGAACTAAAAGAAAATAAAAAAATAGAATGCGAAAAATAAAAAAGAATCGAAAAATAGAACGAAAAGAAAATAAAAAGAAATACGAAAAATAAAATAATAAATAGAATAATAAAAGAAAATAGAGAAATAACCAAATGAAATTAATTATTTACCTTTGTCTTTTGGATCTTCCTTGGCACCTTTCTTCTTTTTCTTTTTATCATCTTCCTCTGGTTCTTCAACCTCCGCGTCGCCTTTTTCCGCTTGTTTTTCGGGCTTCACGGTCTCCTCCTCTGGTTTATCTGCAGTTTTAGGTTCGTCGCCTTTTTTAGCGGCTTCCTAGTTTTAATAATTAAAAATATTATTATTAAAACTAAATTATTCTTATTACAATCAGTAATTTTTATTTTTATTCGTTTTCTTTTATTTATTTTATTTCTATTAGTTTTATTGCTTACTTTATAACTTGTAAGTTTTAAGGTTTATTATTTACAGTTTTATTATAAAAATATAAATTATATTTTTTGTTATAAAAATATGTAATTATTTATATTACTAATTAATATTATTATAACAATTGTCAACTCACGGCTTTCTTCTGGGCCTGCTTCTTCAGTCTTTCGCGCTCCTTCTTTTCCTTCTTTTTCTGAGCTGCTGTTTTCATTGTACTAGCTTCCTGATCATCATCATCTTTTCCCTCATCCTTTTCGACCTTCTTCTCTTTCTCTTGACTGCCTTCCTTGGCCTTCTTCTTTTCATCTTCTTCGGGTTTCGGCACCTCAACTGCTTCCTTCTTCTGACCAGAATATTCCATTTCTAATTCAGCAAGTACTTTCTCAATATCCTCTTCGCTATCATTTCGCTTCTTTTTTGCTGAAAAAATGTTTAAATTGTAAGTAAAAAATATTTACATAAACATGAAATCAAAAAATAGAATAAAAAGAAATAAAATCGAAAAATAAAAAAGATATAAATAAAATCAAAAAATAGAGCAAAAAAAAAAAAATAAAATCGAAAAATAGAACCAAAAAAATGTAATAAAATCAAAAAATCGAACAAAAAAATAAAATAGAACCAAAAGAAAATAAAAAAATAGAATACGAATAATAAAATAATGGAATAATAAAAAAATAAAGAAATAGAATAAAAAAGTGAAATAAAAGAAATATTTACAAAATTTTACATAATATTGAATAATTTTTGAAAAAGTGATTTGATTTACCTTTCTTTCCTTTCTTCTGTTCCTGGGCAGTTTGTGCCTTTGAATTTTTACTTTTATCAACAACTGGCTTTTTCTCTGATTCATTTTCACTTTCTTGTAGTACTTCTTCATTGTTATCGTCGTCATCATCATCGTTATCATCATCTCCCTCAACATTTAAAAGGGCAAATCCTCCTTTCACGGCTGCTAAATATTAAAATTGAAATATTAAATTTTTTAAAATTAATTAAAAAATCTTTAGGAAAGAAATAAACTCTTCTTCGAATTTTATTACAATTTTCTAAATAATTTAAGTCAATCAAAAAATTTTTTTAAAATATTGAAAATAATTAAATTCAGTCAAGAAAATTTATTAAAATATTGAAAATAATTGCTAATTCTTTCTAAACATTTCTTTAATTTTTTCAATGCAATTAATTTCGTTAATAAGTGTAATTAATAAGTTTATTAAAATTTGTAAGAAATTAATTAAATTCTTTTCTAGATATTATTACAATTTTTTAAATAATTGAATTCAAGCAAAGAATTTTATTAAAATATTGAAAATAATTTAATACTTTCAAAGCATTTCTTTAATTTTTTCATAACAATTCATTTCGTTAATAAGTGTAATTAAAAATTTTATCAAAATTTATAGGAAATAATTTAATTCTTCATAAAATTTAATTACAATTTTTTAAATAATTTAATTGAATCAAAGAATTTTATTAAAAATGTATTAAAAATAATTGAATTCAATCAATATTTTTAAAAATAATTGAATTCCTTCAAAGAATTTGATTAAAATTGGTTTTGAAAATAATTGAATTCTTACAATCAAATTTTTCAATAAAATTTGAATACTTCTGATGAATTTTATTAAAATTTTTGAGAATAATTGAATTTATCCGAAGAATTTTATTATTTATACAATTTTTGAAAATAATACAAATTTAAATGAATTTCCTTTGAGAAATTTAATTGAAATTGTATTGACAATAATTGAATTCTTACACAAAATTTTGATTATTTATGAAAATATGTGAATTTTTTGAGTAATTTTACTAAAATTTTATTAAAAATAATTGAATTCTTGCAAAAATTTGATTATTTACGAAAATAATTGAATTTTTTGAGTAATTTTATTAAAATTTTATTGAAAATAATTGAATTCTTGCGACATTATTTTATTATTTATGAAAATAATTAAATTCTTTCGAGAAATGAAAAAAAAATTTTGAAAATAAAAAATTCTTAGCTAATATTTAATTATTCTTAATAAAATTTTAACAAAATCTCTTGAAGAGATTCAATTATTTAAATATAATTTAATACAATTTTTTGAAAGAAGTCAATTACATATTTTTACAAATAATAAAAAATTCTTCGTTAGAATTAAATTCTTTTCTATGCAATTTTAATTATATTTCTCGAAAGAATTCAATAATTTTTATAAATAACAAAATTCTTTATCAGAATTGAATTATTTTTAGATATAATAAAATTCTTAGTCAGAATTCAATTATTTTTATAAATAATAAAATTCTTTGTCAGAATTCAATTATTTTTAACATAAAATTATGTCTATACAGGATTCAATTATTTATAAGAATAATAGAATTCTTGACAAGAATTTTATAAAATATTATGAAAATAATTGTTCCCGTGCTAATTAATTAACATTTTTGAAAATAATTGAAATTTTTCGAGAAATTTTTTTTTGAAATTGTATTGACAATAATTGAATTCTTGCAAAGAATTTTATTATTTATAAAAATAATTGAATTCTTGACAGTCGATTAACATTTTTGAAAATAATTGAAATCTTTCAAGAAATTTGAGAGAAATTCTATTGAAAATAATTGAATTTATTGCGAAATATATAATTATTTTTAAAATAATAGAATTCTTGACAATTTATTAAAACTTTTGAAAATAATTATAATCTTTCGAGAAATTTTATTGAAACTGTATGGGCAATAATTAAATTCTTGCAAAAAATTTTATTATTTATGAAAATAATTGAATTCTTGCAAAAATTTTTATTATTTATCAAAATAATTGAATTCTTGCTAAGAATTTAATAAAAATATTTTTGATTTTTTATTAAAATTTTTGTAAATAATAATTATTCTCGAATAGTAAAAAAAATTACCTTTATTTCCCTTCGTAGATTTAACAGATTGAATCGGAAAATCGTCATCTGATTCTGAAGCTTTTCTTGCCTTCGCTTTTCCTTTCTTCCCCTTCACCTCCTCCACTTTACTCTTCACAGACTCTTCCTCCTCATCATCAGAATCAACATTCTTTTTCCCCTTTTTCGACTTTCCTTTCGTCTTTTTCGTCTCCACATCAGAATCATCTGAATCAACTTGTTTCTTCCCCTTTTTATTCTTCTTTCCCTTTTGCTTTTGTCCCTCATTTTCCTCATCTTCCGAATCATATTGAACATCTTTCTTTCCCTTTTTACCCTTAGCTTTTGATTTCGATTTTTCCTCCTCAGAATCAGCTCCTGAATCAATGGACAATGCGGCAAAACCTTTTTTTGCTGCTTGATTCTTTCGATTCTTCAAATTAGCCTTCGATGATGATTCTTTTTCCGAATCGGAATCTCCATCTTCAATTGATATGGAACCTTTTTTTCCTTTTGCTTTTGACATTATTTCCATTTCATCGTCGGAATCATCGCCTCCTTTCTTTGACTTCTTATCTTTTTTCGATGTTTTCGATTTGTCGACTTTTAATTCACTCATATCATCGGCCAAATCGTCTAATTCATCTCCTTTCTTCTTCTTTTTGTCCTTCCCCTTCGTTTTTGCCTTCTGATCATTATTTTCCTGTTCTATTTCCGCATCACTTTCACTGAAATTAACAAAAATTAATTTTTGATTATTAAATAAATAAAAATAAATAAATAATAATAAATAATTAAAAAATAAAAAAAAATTTTGTTTTTTTATTTTAAACGAATTTTAAAAAATCGTCTTATTAACATAAAATTAATCTTTTTCGAAAATTAAAAACACGAATAAAAATTAATTATTAATAAAATTAATAAACTAATAAATAATTTGAAAATTAGAAAAAAATTTTTTAATTATAAAAGAATTTTAAAAAGTTGTCTTATTAAGATAAAATTAATCTTTTTAGAAAATTAAAAACACGAATAAAAATTAATTACTTATTCGGTCTTTTTGAATCACAAGGATCACAAGTGTTAATTATTTACTTTCATCTTTTGTTATTTTCATAAAACTTGGATCGACAAAAAAAAAGACTAAAAATTCTCAATCTCAATAGAGAGTAAAATTTAAGATTCAGATCATAATTAAAAAATTGAAAATACAGAATTTAATAATAAAATTTTGATTGATTTTGATCATTTTGATCTAAAAAAAAATCTTCCGCATTCTAACCTAACCTATAAAATATACTGAAAACAAAATTCACATTCAAATAATGTCATCAAAATATTATTAGACGACTTTAAAGCAACTTTTATATATAAATACAAATACAATTATCACTACATTAATTAAGAATTATTTTTATAACAAAAATTTTCACATGGTCATTAAATATTTTCGATAATAGAAAATATTTTTAAAAGTTTCTCAGTTTCTAAGTAATTGTTAAAATTTTCAAAGTCCCAGTACGATTGCAAATAGGGAAAAAAAATTCATCTTTTAGACTTTAGGAAAAGAAAATTGAGGAAATCGAACAAATTTAAAGAAAACAAGGAAAATATTCGAGAATTCGTAACCTAACCTAAAAAAAAGACCAGATGGAAAGTGTTGCATCATTAGAATGAAATAGATTCAGAATGTAAAGTTTTAACAATTATTACTACTCGATAAATCTTGTTAATTTTATTAGAATTATCAAAGATGTTGATAGAGGGTGATTTTATGTCCTTCAAGATTAAACCCAAGTATACAATCTGGCTGAAAATAAACTCACAATTCGTCGTCCTTGTCAGCGCGTCTTCCTTTCTTTGCCTTCCCCATTTTTCTCAATCGACTAGATAATTAATTTCACCACTTTTTTCGCGTAAAATATTCCACATTCGTGAGATTCTGCAACATGAGAATCGAAATTTTGCACTTTGTAAAATTGACGGATATCATCCGGTTTTCACTTCTAAATCTCGAATGACGTGAAGTTGGTCTCACATTGTTAGAAATTCGTTTCACAATGTTGCCAACCCTTCCATCTACTGTCGTCACAATCAGTGTTACCACCATTATTCGTAACTTGAGTGAACTTTAGCAAACTTCAATTCAATGGAAATCTGATTTCTGATCACTTTGCGGCTAAAAATCGTGGTGATCATTGAATATATTTAATATTTCTATCATTTCTGTGATTATTTCGATAAATATAGAATTTATAGATAAATACAAAAGTTATTTTTCATAATCGAAAAAAGAAACGTCACATTATTTAGATTTTATTTGTATATTATTTATACTCCTAACCTCACTTTTGATAAACTTGATGTTTTCTCTTTAAAGAATATAAAGATATAAAAATGAATATAAAAGTGATTATTTCCCGAAATTTCGGGTCAAAATTTGGACTGTCTAATATTTTTTCTGTGCGATCGTGTTCGACGTTGGAAAAATTAGTGAAATTGAAGCAACAAACAAAATCTGGAGAACTTGAGTACGATGTGGTTCCTATTTTTCAGAAAGAAGTTGAAAGCGAAGAAAAATTGATGAAATTAAGAAACAAATCCAGATTATCTTTAAGTGATCAAAATCGATTGCACGGCAGAAAACCATACAATAAAAGTATTGAAAAGTTAGTAATTTATAACAAATACTAAAGCAGAAAAATCGTTTCGTATTTTTAGGGTCAAAGAAAATAGAACAATTTTTTTTTTAAAGAGATAAAACAATTTCTTTATAAGAAGAAAAATACCTAGTAAGATATGAAGTAAAAATAGGCAAATAAATATTCACATTTTTTTAAATTCCAGATTTCATGATAGTGTAAGGTACAAAAGAAGAATGTTGGGACGATATGGATTGAAAGCTTTGGATGCAACGCCTGGAGTTGCTTGGCCAACATTAGAGGATGTCGAGGATGCAAAAGCATACGAAGCAGTCTATAATCCACTTTCATTAGAAGAAAATTGGAAACTAATCGAAGAAAAGAAACGAGAAGAGGAAGAGCGGATAAGACTCAGGTATTTTTTCTCTTCAAATTTTCTACATTATTTATTGCAGGGTTGACACAGAACAGAGAATTCAGGGAAAAGTCAGGAAAATTCAATTACTTTCAAAAATTTTAATAAAATTCTTGGCAAAATATCAATTATTTTCAAAAAAATTTTTCTCAATTCAATGATTTTTAAAAATGTACTATTTTATTAAAATTTACTAAAAGAATTCAATTATTTAAATAATTTTAATAAAATTGGTTTAATAATATTGGTCACTCCGAGTCGAAGACTCGGAGTGATATATTTTCATTTTTTTTTTTTTTTTGATTATTCGTTGTTGGATTTCAAGAAACTTTGAATTTGATATTTTTGAAAATCTTAATTCCTATGAAAAAATAATAATTAAATGTTTATTTAAAAATGAAGTTTTTTGAGTATCTAATAATTTTTAGACTAATCTAATTCTTTAGCTTCAGGGAAAAAGTAAAAATTTTGTCTTGAACTCAGGAAAAAATCATGAAAATACAAAATTAAATTTTTATGCTAACCCTGTTATAAAATTTTTATAATTTTTTCCAAACTGAATTAAAAATTTCTCTATTATTTCACACAGAGAAGAGGAAATCGATGAAAAATTGAAAAATATGCAAAAATGGAAAACGGAATTACAGAACAAGATTAATCAAAAAGAAGCGGCCGAGAATGCGGCAAGAATCAAGAAGGAAAAAATGATGGAAGAAATTCGTCAAGAATTTGGTTTTCATTTAGATCCACGTACTGCTAAATTCAAAGAATTAATGGCAAAAAAACAGGAAGACGAGAGAAAGAAAAAGAAAAGCCTGAAGAAGGAGGAAAAAGCAGCAAGAGCATTGAGAAGCATGTCAGAGCAATTTAAAATAATGGAGGATAGTACAAAAACAGTTGAAACTAAAACCGAAAATAATACAGTTTCCAAGGATGAAAAACTGACAGAAAAAAATAAAGTCTAAATTTGAATTCCTTTTTTAGCCTTATTCATGAATTTATCACGAAATTATTATAACTTATCACGAAAAAGAAAACTTTTCTTGTAAATATCTTATATTTTCTTCACTAATACAAAAACATTACACACAGTTTTATAATGACTAGAAAAAACAAAGAATAGCAATGGGCATAGTAATAAAATCATGCGTTCACTGAAAAGGAAAAACATTTTGTCTCGAAGAAGTGAAAATTCCATGTTCCCTGATAACTTGATTTTTTGTTAACAAAGATTTTTTTTTATAATCAACTCCGAACTTTCAAATTAGTACTTGTACTGATATCAATATCTTTTTCGAGAATTGTGTCAGTTTCAAATTGAAATATATTTTTCTCCGAATTTTCCGTTGTTCGTTCGTCAGTGGTGAGAATGAGATTCTCGACAATCTGAATATTTTCAAGTTTCGCCTCGTCGATGAGAATCACACGAAACTTATTTTTATCCACGTGTCAGGCGGATTGCACTTGTGATGGCGATGTAAACTCGTAGAATTGAAAACTCAATTCCTCGCCAAATAGATTGTCCGGTGAAATCATGTCGGGATCGACGATATTCAAACCCAATGCTGCGGGATTAAGGTCGGTGACTAAATAGCCCTCGCCAATTAGTCCGCATTCTTCAGCGACAATTTCCTTTGAGACCGGATTCAAAAAATCTAAAAAGGGAAAAGGAAGTTTATTAATAAAAATAATTGGCTAATAATATTTTATTAGCGGATTAATTTGTTTTGAAAGAAGCAAAAAAAAAACCTGTTTCTTTTTGCTCTGGTTTAATATTCTGCGTTGAATTCTGTTCATTTTGAGTCATGGACATTGGAACGAGATATTGAACTTCAACCTCTCTTTTAACTCCGCTTAAAATTTGCTCTGCGCAATGTTCAAGAGTTACGGAATTTACTATTTCTTCCGCCTCTTCTTCTCTTGGTTGACTGATACTCGCCGTTGCGGCTTCAACTTCGTCGACCGTTATCATTTGACTGAAAATATTTCTTTATTAGGAAAATTTCAATTTTTATTTACTATACTTTTTATTTTTTTTTTACTACACTAAAGAAATTTCTTAATTTTTTCAGAAATTCGTTTGTCTAAAGAAATTTTTTGATTTATTCAGAAATTCGTTTGTCTAAAGAAATTTCTTAATATTTTTAAGAAATTCGTTCATCTAAAGAAATTTCTTAATTTTTTCAGAAATTCGTTTGTCTAAAGAAATTGAGACAATTCTTTAAAAATTCTTTTGTCTAAAGAAGTTGACATTTTTCAGAAGTTCTTTTTTCTAAAAAAGTTTAGAAATTTCTTTAGTGTAGAAAAAAATCGATAGAATTAGGAAAATGATTTCTGACTTTATGGAATTCGTTTCAATGACAGATTTAGTTCCATTGGGGACGAAATGACGAGATCTCAATTCGTCCTGATTGGCGATTGCCCAAAGATGTCCTGCTCCGTGTGGGGCCTTAGATCCTTTTCGAAAATGTGGATTTATCGAGAGATTGTGCCGCACTGAATTTTTCCAACGATCGTCATTGCTTTTGTAATACGGAAAATGTTCCCTGAAAAGAAAACATCGATCAATTTTGTTTGCAATTTTTAATTGAAATTAATTAAATTGAATTAAATCGAGTTAAGTTAAATTGAATCAAATTAAAATCAAATTAAATCGAAATAAATGGAATTAAATTGAATCAAATTAAATTGAATTGAATCGAATTCAATTGGATAAGAAATTCAAAACAAATATAATTGAATAGAAATAAATAGAATTGAATAGAAATGATTGAATAATAAAATTCTACAAATTCGATTCGATTCAATTCAATTTCATTCAATTCGATTTTAATTAATTTCAATTCGAAATTCATCTTCTGTGAAGAAAAAAGAAGCAGATAAGACAGGAAAATAATTTTTTATCAGAAATAGGAGAATGATTTCTACACCCCGATCAAGTTTTGTCCCAAAAATTGTAATTTCCTTCACCTGCCCATCGCGACGTCACGGCGCTTTAACTTTTCAACCCTCCGCACAATCATTTCACAGCCCTTTCCCTTCGAGGGTCATGATCTTTTTAAAAGACGATATAAATGCAACTTTTATTCGCCTCAATGAACAGAATACTTTTTTTTTCTTTTTCCTCTAAAATTATTTCTAATTTCAAAACCAAATCTATTTTAAATAAATTAAAAAATTAAAAACTACGATAGGAAAATTGTGAAAATAAACAATTATTACAAACAAAAATTGAAACTTGACGAAAAAGAATTAAGAAAAAGTAATTTTTTAATCTGATAAACAAAATTAATAAGAAAAACTCCAAAATTACAGAAAGAACAAAAATAATTGTAGAGAAAATGAAATATTTTTTCTTTTTACTCTAAAGTTATTATTAATTTCAAAAACCAAATCAATTTTAAATAAATTTAAAAAATGAAAAATTACGATAAAAAAATTGTGAAAATAAACAATTATTACAAATAAAAATTGAAATTTGACGAAAAAAAACTAAGAAAAAGTAATTTTTTAGTTTGATAAACAAAATGAAAAAAAAAAACCCTCAAAATTACTGCGAGAGAACAAAAATAATTGAAAAATGATTGAAAATTAAATAATACTTGAAAACAATTCAATTCCTTCGAAGAATTTTATTATTTATAAAAATAATTGAATTTTCGGGAAGAATTTTATTAAAATTTTCGAAAATAATAAACAATAATAATTAATCATATACTTAATAAGTCAATTTTTCAAATTTTGACTCTGAAATTATTCAATATTTGTATTTGAAAATAGAAAATTTTGTAATTGGCATAATTATAGACAGAGAAAATTAAATAATTTTAAAATTAGAGATTCGAAGGAATTGCAGTGTAGAGAATATAATTAATAGAGAAAATAAATAAGAACACCAAATTAATAAAGAAACAAAATGAATAAAGAAATCAAGTTAATAAAAAAACAAGTTTAATAAAAAACAAATTAATAAAAAAAAATTAAATAAAGAAAAAAAGAAACAAAAAAAAAAGTAAATAAAGACAGTCAAATATAAGAACCGAAAGAGAGTTAAAAGTATATAGCGACTAAAAAGTAGATAAAAATGATCGATTTTAGAGGAACGAAAAGAAATAAATTCCATCTTTGAAATTTATTTAGAAGACACAGAAAATAGATATAATACGATTGTGATTCGTGCGGGATGCATGCAAAGATTGGTGAATGAACTATAGGTTTCCTGATATTGTGAAGCTCTTTGCTTTGCTATCGAACAGGTGAAAGTTCGTGGGAGAGGGATGAAACAGAGAGAGGCAAAGAAAAGGTTGTTGGCGAACCGGCTAGTGCCAGAGAGGGTGAGTACTTGGTACCAGGTGGTGCCAAGCACCGGGGCCAGTGGTACCAAGATGTACCAACTTCCAACCCCTTCAACCCTCTTTTGCAACGTCGCACGACGTCCTTGCTGCCGTTCGAAATCGAAACATAACCGGACAATAGTTTTTCAATTTTTCTCCTTTTCACCAAATTTTAATTTTATTTTTCTAAACGGAATTTTTAGTTCAAATTCAATAATAACTAAATAAAAATAAATAAAATAATTTGATTTGAATTCTTTTGGTAAAATTCAATTCGGTTTGAAATTTAGAGAAAAAAGACAAAAAAAAATTATAAAAAAATTGGTAGAAATGACACGGAGGAAAAAATTGTTGTCGTTGAAAAAATTAAATGCGGATGATAATTAATTTTTAGAAGAGTAAAAAATCCCTTACGAAATCCATTGATAAATGGCGGAGACAGTGAGTTCGCCTTTTTCTTGCAAGGCATGTTCGATTAATTCCGTGTACGTGAAAGGCGGCTTCTTCGGGCCATTTTGACGACTGTTGTTTTTATTTTCAGAATTTGATCCAAACGACGAATTTCCCTCGCGGAAAAATGAAGAATTCTCCGAGTAATTTTTCTTCGTCTCATGATACGCCGAAGTCGATGCTCCAAAACGATTGTTCGTCTGAACTTTATTTCTGTGACCTGGAAATCATTTTTTTTTTCATTAAATTATTATTTTCTCGAATTAAAATCAATAAATAATTTTTTTTGTAATTTCATTTTTTTTGTTCTTTTTGAATAAATGCAAAAGAAACAAAAGAAAATACAATAAAAATTTTTAAAAATTCGATAGAAATAAAAAAATAAATGGAAAAATTTAATAGAAACAAAAAAGAAATAAAAAAAATTCAATAGAAATAAATAAATACAAGATGAAAAAAATTACAAAAAGAAAAGAAATATTAAAGTTATTATTAAATAGAAGAAATACGATAGAAAATTAATAGAAAAACAAAAAAAAAATTGAAAAAGAATAGTAAGTACAAAGAAAAAAAATAAAAATACAGAAAAAGAAGAGAAAATAAATAGAAATACGAAAAAATCCAAAAAATAGAAATACAAAAAATACAAGAAAAATAAATAGAAAAGCGAGAAAACTAAGAAAATAAATAAATACAAAATTGAATAAATACAGAGAAAGGTAAATAAAAATCCAAAAAAATACAAAATATAATTGAAAAAAAGAATAATTTCGATAAAAAAAATAAGAAATAATTAATTTTTTTGTGGAAAAAGTGATTCTCACCGAACTGACTGTCCTTTGGAGAAAGAATAGTGGAACGATCGTCAGCGGCCTCAATTAATGAATCGAGTTTAAAATCCAAGAGCCACGATAAATTTCCATTCTCCTGATCCTCAATTAAATTATTATTCTCTTGAAAACGTGAAAATTGATTTGTCCGACTGCACGATGGTTTTATTAGTGGCACTTGAGGGATTATTTCCTGTGGTTCCCAAAAATGTTGAACCTCATTATTGTAATTCTGATTTGATGAGAATTGTAAATTTATTGGCGTTAATATTTGTCCATTATTTGTTTGAATCACTTGCGATTGATTGATATCGTCAATAAGATGATTTCCATGTTCCAATTCAGACGTCTCCCAATTTCCATCGACAACCAATACCTCCAATCGTGTTACAGAACCATTTTCTTCCTCTTGCGTTAATGTTGAAAAATCATCGCTGGATATTTGTGTTATTATACTATCTGACGTTTGCATTTCAGTCATGTACCTGCATTTTTTTTGTTTATTAAACAAAAAATTAAAAAAAAGTATTATTAATTTTAAATTTGTTTTTTTAAAATTGGGAATAATTTTGTAATGTATTAAGGGCATTTGAACCTTGATGACGTCACACATGCTTTGCACAAAGTGTAACGTCATCAAGGTTCAAATGCCCTTAAAGAAAAAAAAATTGTTAATATTGGGAAAATATTTTTTAGTGTTAAAAGAAAATTTTTTGTTTACGCAAAAAGTATTTTTTTGTGTTAAAAAAATTGTTTAATTCCAAAAAAAGGATTTTTAGTTTTAAAAAAATTATTTAATTACAAAAAGAAGTATTTTCAATACTTAAAAAAATAGTTTAACTCTAGAAAACATTTTTTTTACACTAAAAACATTTTTTAATAATTAAAAAAATTGTTGCAGTCCAGAAAAAATATTTTTAAATACTAAACAATTGTTCAACTCTAAAAAAATAGTTTTTCAAACAAAAAAAATTGTTTAATCACAAAAAAAGTATTTTAGTACCTCGTTTAGTACTGAAAAAATTGTTTCATTCTAGAAAAATTAATTTTTAATACTAAAAATTGTTTAATTCTAAAAAAAATATTCTTCACATTGAAAAAATTGTTAAATTTCGAAAAAAGACATTTTTCATAATTAAAAAAATTGTTCAACTCTAGAAAAAAATATTTTCTATACTATAAACATTTTTTAATAATAAAAAAATTGTTGCATTCTACACAAAAATATTTTTTAATGCTAAAAAATTGTTCAAATAACAAAAATAGTTTCTTTATTATTAAAAAAATTGTTTCATTTTAAAAAATATATCTTAGTAATTAAAAAATATTTTTTTAATACCAAACAAATTGTCTAGTTATAAAAAAGTAGTTTTATTCTAGAAAAAATATTTGTTAATACTAAAAATTGTTTAAATCTAAAAAAAATAGTTTTGATATTGAAAAAATCGTTTAATTTTGAAAAAAAATAGTTTTTAATATTTAAAAAATGGATCAATTCCAGAAAAAATAATTTTTAATACCAAAAAAATTGTTTCATTCTAAAAGAAGGTTTTTCGGAAGTAGAATTTAATTCTAACGACTCGAAAATATTTTTTAATAATGAAAAAAATTGTTTAATTCCAAAAAAATTATTTCTTAATATTAAAAAAATGTCTTATCATCAAAAAAATATTTTTTTGTATTAAAAAAAAACTCTATTTAATTGTATTCTCAAATGTACCGTTTTCGTCCGCCCTGATAGATTTCATCGCAGAAATTTTCAATGTCCAAATCGTCGAATACTTTTCTTTTGTTACAAATCGTATTTTCGGTTACTTCACGATTTGGCACATTATTGGTGCCCGATGTAGGTCCAATCATCACGTTCTTATGTTTTTTTTTTTGGAGAAAAAAATTATCATAAAATTTCTAAACTTAATTCCTCAAAAAAAAAAATTCGTATTTTAAATAATCTTCATCTATTGTTATTTATTTTTTTATTTATATTTTTTAGAAAATAAAATAATTTTCAAATTTTTCTATTTTCGATCAAAAATCTAATTGGCAATGTTTGAAATAAATATTATAAATAAATTAAAAAAATAATTAAACTTACCAAAATATTGTCCGAGTGTTTTAAAAAAATTCCTTTGGTGAAAAAAATATTTTTTATTCACTTTTTTCAATTGCAAAAATCACTACTTTTCCATTTGGTCACTCAAAAAATCATCATTTCACTTTTGGGAAAAATTCAACAAGAAAACCAAAGTTTTTTAACCAAAATAAGTAACTTGAGATTTTTTTTTGGGAAAAAAAAATTTACACGGACAAAAGACAACGAATTTCTTCGTTTTTTGTTGTAAATTAATTTTCTTTTGTTTATAATTAATTTATTTTTCTCTTCGGATAAAATATTAAATGGAAAACGAAATATGACAGAAGAAGGACTTAATTTCTCAACCTAGTCAACGTTTTCAGAGCTTCTGAATCGAAAAGAGGTTTTCGAGTGTTTCGTATTTCTGCTGTTAACGCGGCGAGATGCGCGCGCATTAAAACAAAGCGCAAACGCAGATTAATTATCAAAAGAAAAAAAAATTCTAATTAGAAAAATAATAAAAATAACCTACAATACGGTACAAAGTAAAAAAAAAGTATAATGACAATTTGAATAAATATTTAGGAACTTAAATAATTTTAAATCTTAAAAAAGATCAATTTTTAAAAATTTAAATTAAATTAAATTAATTAATTAATTAAATTTAAATTTAATTTTCAATTTAATTTTTAATTTCGTTTTTTTAAAGTTTTTTATGACTCCTTTTTCCTTTTGACTCCAGAATAAATAAAAATAGGAAAGAAAATATCGTCGAAATTATTTTTTTGTTTAAATTTCCCTCCCTGACATTGTAGCCAACAAAAGAGAAACAAACTCTCGTTGTTGTTGGCAACATTGTTTCCCAGAGACAAAAGAGCAGACGACAAAATGCCGCGTTTATCACAATATTTGTGTTTGAATTTGTCAAAATTACACAAATTTCCTTCATTGTAAATAATTGTAAACTTTGTAAACTTTGCAAACAAATTTAGTGAAGAATTTATTTTCAAACCTGACTCGAGGTAATCGATATTATCAATATTTTCGAGTGATAGTTTCAATTAATACTACATTTTTCATAAATTTCTTAAAAAGTTGTTTTTGAACTTTCATAGAATTAACATTGATGTTAATTGACAATTTTGAATGATGAATTGTCGTCTAATTCTACGTGGATTATTGTCGTCGACGGTGAAGAATTTTAAGAGAAACATTTACACAACTGCTGAATGTAGATCACATCCGGATGTTTGGGAACCTGATCACAGAGGAAGAACATCCTCGAAAATTTATAAAAATGCTGCGAAAAAAACACCGGAGGAATTATTATGGGAGGATGAAAGTTATTTGGAAAAATTGAAATTAGAATTAAAATTATGGAAAGAACAATTGATACTCTGCAAAAATGAAGTGTTAAATTTTGATGGGCCTATTCTTGTCTATAGACGTGGAGAAGTTGACGTTTATTGGAGATTCAGTGAAGATCCAAATTGTCTGAATCAATGGATTGTCACTGCGGATAGTGATTGTGATGATGGTTTTTCAACTTGCAAGTATGTTACATTTACAATTTACATTTTGTTAATTTCAAACCTATTTCACTTATTTTAAGAGAAAAAGATACTGTGATTCCTGTGCTTATTTTCTTATTCATTAAAAGTTTTTCAGGGTTTCCACAGGTCAACGAAGTCAGAGAATTCAGGAAAAGTAGAATTGGAAACTGAAATTACCACGAATTCTAAAACCTTCAAATTTTTCTATTTCTGTCAATAATTTCTTTTTAAATAACTTAATTCTTGAAGAACTATCATAAACTTATTACAAATTATTTAATGAATAATTTCACTTCAAAAACTATCATAAAATTATTACCCATAAATTATTTAATGAATAATTTTACTTTAATATTTCAATATTAATTCAACTTTAAAAGAGTTAAGTTTACAATTTTACAAACTTAAAAAAGTTTCAATTTGATTTTTAATAAAATTTCAATCTTGAATGAATTTAATTAGAAATTTTATTGAAAATAATTAAATTTATGCAATTGAGGATGAATTTAATTATTTTCAATAAAATTTCGGGAAAGAATTTAATTATTCTTAAAATTTTTTATAAATTTCTTGTCAATTTCAATTATTTTAAAATTCTTTGCAAGAATTAAATTATTTTCAATACAATTTAAAAAAATATCAGATTTCAATTATTCTTCAAAATTTTGATAAATTTCTTTGCAGAGTTTCTATTATTTTTAAATTTAGATAATTTGAATTTTGAATGAATTTAATTAGACATTTTAAAAAACTTAAAATTCTGAAAAATTTTAATAATTAAAATTCTTCAGAAATTAGTCAAATTTTTTAATATATATTTAATTAATTGTTAAAAATATTGGACTTACAGAAGAATTTTAGTTTTAAAAAACCCTAAAAAATTGAATTTTGGATAAGTTACAAACGATTGCAGAAATTTAATTATTTTCAACAATTTTATAAAATGGTTTATTGTTTTTCCAGATTAGAACTATCACCAAATGGAACTGGTATATTCAGCGGCAATTTAGACACAAGACTCCCAGAGACCGGAGAGAATACACACGCCGGATTTTGCAATATTCGAACAGTGAATGCGATGAAATCGTTTTACAGAGAAACAGCTTTAAATTGGGCTCCTTACTCTCATCTTCGAATGCGAGTAAGAGGCGATGGTCGTGTTTACTTTATAAATATTGGATTACTACAAACCTTTGATGTTCAATGGTTTCAAATTAACAAATATTTATTGATGACACGCGGTGGACCCTATTGGCAGGATATTAAAATACCATTTTCGAAATTCTTCCTCACCCACAAGGGAAGAGTTCAGGATCGACAGCAGCCATTGGAGAAGATGAAAGTGAAAAATTTTGGCATTACACTCGCCGATAAGACGCCGGGACCTTTTAAATTGGAAATTGATTATATTGGTTGCGAATATGATGATTATCATAAGGAAGAAAGTGCCTACGAATCCTATCATCTTGACACTAATCGATGGTAAATGATTGCAATGAGGAAGAAAGTTTTTCATTAAAATAGAAATTGTGCGAATGAATTATTTTAAATATTGTTATTTGCGGTTAAATTATTTAACCGCGTGGGATAATTTATTGCTGTAATAAGTATGAAAATAATTATAGAAATTGTATAATAATAATTGTAATAAATTTTTTTTTTTGCAAAAAGTCAATTTATAAATAATAAAAACCTTCGTAAAAAAATTCAATTATTTTTATGTAAACAATAAAATTCTTATCAGGATTTCACTTATTTTCAATACAATTTTAATTGATTTCTTCGAAAATTTCAATTATTTTTAAAAAATATATAAAAAATTCGCAGAGAAAATTCAATTATTTAAAGAAATAATTGAATTTTTGAATAATTTAAGGTGGAAATTCTAAAAAATAAGGTTTTTGAAAAATTGTAATGAAAATTTGTTTGAATTCCCGAAAATAATTTTAAAAATTGAAGTTTTGGTTTGAATAAAATTAAATTTTGTATAAAATTTTATTCAAATAAATTTTACATTTGAAAGAATTTAATTTTATTACTGTTAAAAAGTTTTTTGGAATAGAAAATATTAAATAATATTATTATAAAAATATTATTATAAATAAATAAATGGTATTTTTAAAGAATTGTTTTTCAAAAAAATTTTTTTTTAAAAGGTATGAAATATAATTACGAATATAGTTTTTTATAATTTATAATTTTAATTGCAAATTATTATTATTGTTCAAAGTTCAAACTATACGTGTTTACTGTAAATAGTTCAATGTCGAGGCGCTTTAGTCGTGAGCGGTCGATCATGTTCTGCTCCGGAAATTAAACAGTTTATTTTTTCCAAAAATTGTTTATAGTCATTTTAATAATTTTCTCTAAATTGAAAATTCATTATGTTCAACTGTGGAAAATTTAGATGACCAAACTACTTTAAAAAGTAAGTAAACGAGCGACAATTTACAATTTACAATCAAATTCTAACCTCAAAATAATTTTTTATATTGAAAATAAAAACGAATTTTTCTTATTTCTCACTATACGTAAAAATTGAAATTTATCCTCTAATTTCTAATAAACCATGTAAATAATTAAATTCAGGAATTTATTACTTTATTTATAACCTAAAATTTCAGGGCACAATTTTTAAAATTAAAAATGACCTGCGAATCATGAATTTGTTTATATTTTTAGATCAAACATTTGTAGTATGAATTACTTCCTTCTACCGGCATTTCAACGCTGTAGAATTTACAATAGATACAATTTGGAGAAATGTTTGCATCAATTACAAGCGAGACTTTATTATGGAAAATGCGAGAGTCGAAGGAACAATCATGTGAATGGAAAAGAACGAATTCCAAGAAGAAAAGTTTTAAAGGCAAAAATATTACGTGACTTTCGTGAAACGAAGGAGAAAGTTGGACTTTATATTGAGAGAGAAAATATATGGACTATTCCAAATTTACTTTGCATTACTCGAATTGTAACTTCTCCCTATCTCAGTTATTTAATTGTCTCCCAAGATTATCAGGTAAGAATTTATTTGGGGAAACATTTACGATAAAACTTTACAATAATATTAACAATTACATATTTAATTACAATTTCAATTACGGTTGCAATTTTACTTGCAATTAAAATTACAATTACAATTATAATTGCAATTAAAATTACAATTACAATTATAATTGCAAATTTAATTTTAATTCTAATTAAAATTACAATTTTAATTGCAATTAAAATTAAAATTATAATTGCAATTAAAATTACAATTGAAATTATAATTACAATTGTGCAATAATTTTTAATTCCAATAAATAATGAGAATTGAGAATTCCCTCGAAACGGGAATTGAAAGTAGAAAATTGAAAACGAATATCTATAGAATTTAAAAGGGGAAATATTTTTTTGGTGGTTAAAAATAAAAAAAAAAAATTGCATGCGATAAATATTTTTCACATACCAGGAGAATTGAGAAGACACTGTGCACTAGGTAGCTTTGTGGTTCCTGGGCTTCGCTGGTCTCAGCGATTTAGCTGACGGATGGATTGCTCGCACCTGGACATCGCAGGCATCGAAACTCGGCAGTGTTTTAGATCCGGTCGCCGATAAACTCCTCGTCGGATGTCTTTTCCTCTCCTTAACATGGGTGAATTTAATTCCCGTTCCATTGACAATGCTCGTCGTCGCCAGAGACGTTGGTCTAATAATGGGCACATCATTTATTCGCTATCGCAGTCTTCCCCCTCCGGTAAGCGAATCTAAAAAAAATCAAAAACAGTCAGTGAAATTTGCAACTATTAATAATATTTTGGTAAAAATTAGTTCGACACTAAAAATAGTTTTTCTGAAATTAAAATTTGATTTTAGCGCACGGTGGCAAAATATTTCGATCCGACACTCGCCACTGTTCAAATTAAACCACATTGGGTGAGTAAATTAAATACGGGAGTTCAACTAATTTTCGTCGCTGGAACACTGGCGGCTCCTGTTTTTCAGTATGTCGATCATCCTATTCTAAAAGGACTTTGCTACTTGACCGCCATCACGACAATAACCGGTGGTTTGAGTTATGTTTTCTCCAAAAATGGATATCGTATTCTCAAAAAGAAATCACGTCATTCCTCAACACAATAATAATAATAAACGTGTATTTAAAATTGACAACTGTATATTGTATAATAGCAGATATTTACTATTTTTAAACTATGTACAGAATCTTAGAAATATTGTGTATATAAAAATATTTTCTTCAATGCAAATTCAAATTTTATTTATTGCCAATTTTTTTTTAAAATGTCCTCCAAACGTTTTACGATTTTATAAAAAATTGCACTAGATATTTAATTAGGTATATAATTAATTAATTAATTATAAAAATGTAGCAAAAAGTAGCTTCAAGACTGATAAAAGACAGTAAAAAAATAGCTGCTAAAAAATTAAATTTTACGATTAAAAAACTCGTTACAGACGATTTCAAAAATTTAATTAAAATTGTACTGAAAACAAATTAAATTCTTATACAGAATTTTAACTAACTTTTTGAAAATAATAAATTTCTTTTAAAGAATTTAAATTTATAATTTTGTTTAATTTCTAAATGTAAATTGAATTTCTTCCAAAAGATTTATTAAATTCCTTTGGAGAATTTAATCGAAATTTTTAAGAAAAATTATAAACATTTCAAAGATTTCATTAAAAATTGTATTGAAAATAATGGAAATCCTGCAAAAGATTTTATTAGTTATGAAAGTAATTGAATTTTTGTAACAAATTTTATTAGTTTATAAACATAATTGAATTTTATTAAAATTTTATTGAAAATAATTAAATGTTTGCAAAAATATTTTATTATTTATACATTTTTAATAAAAATATTAAAGTCCTTCGCTAATATTCAATTATTCTTAATAAAATTTTAACAAAATTTCTCCAAGGGATTCAATTATTTAAAAAAAATTTAATAAAATTTTTCGAAAAAAGTAAATTATTTTTACAAATAATAAAATTCTTCGTTAGAATTAAATTTTTTTCCGTGCAATTTTAATTATATTTCTCGAAATAATTCAATTATTTTTATGAATAATTGAATTCTTGCGAAATATTTTATCATTTTTAAAAATAATTGAATTCTTGCGGTTAATTTTATTTGTTTATGAAAGTAATTGGATTTTTTGAATAATTTTATTGAAAATAATTGAATTCTTGCGAAAATTTTATTAATTTTTTTGAAAGTAATTCAATAATTTCAAGGACATTTCATAAAATTTTATTTTTCAGTAATTTTATTTTTCAAAGAATTGATTAAAAATAATTGAAATTCTGCTAAAAATTTAATTTATGAAAATAATTGAATTTTATTAAAATTTTATTAGAAATAATTGAATTCCTCAGAAGCATTTACTTATTTATAAAAATAATGCAATTCTTACGAAGAATTATAACAAAAAAATTTTAGAAAGTAATTGAATTATTTCACAGAATTTTATTCAAAATTTCTAAATATAATTGAATTCTTGAGTGAAGAATTATTAAAAATAATTGAATTCCCGAGAAGAATTTTATTATTTATGAAAATAATTTGAATTTTTGCAAAAATTTTTATTAAAATTTGTCTAAATTATTGAATTTCTCTGAAAAATTTTCTTATTTCTGAAAATAATTGAATTCTTGAGTTGAATGTTTTAAACATTTTTTTTTTAAATAATCGTATTTTTTCGGAAAATTTTATGAAAATTGCATTTTAAGAAATTGAATTCCTGTGTATATTTTATTGTTTATGAAAATAATAATTGAATCCTTCCGAAGAATTTTATAAAAATTTTCTTTCAATAATTGAATTCTGTTTGGGAAAATTTTATTAAAATATTGATTGAGTCAGGAAAATTTTTGAAAATAATTGAAATGTTTCAAAGTATTTGATTAAAATGTTTTGAATTGTTTTTAAGAATTAAAAAATTTAATTTATTTAATTTATTCAATTTATTAAATCTATTCAATTTAATCTATTAAAATTGATGAGAATAATTTTTCTGATTTTAACTAATAGCGAATTTAAAGTTTAGTGAAAATTATATCAAAAGAAAAGAAAAAAGTATCTTTTAGTATCACCAATAATATAGAAAAGAATCTATATAGTGGCAAATCGTAAAAAAAATAGTAAATACTAGGTTTTAGTGGACAAGCCCGTATTTTATGACGAAGACAAATTTATATATGAAAATAAAATGAAAATTTCGAAGGAAAAGTTTTTCAAAGGAAAATAAAAGCGGAATTGAAAACTAGTTTGCGTTCTCAAGGTTCTAGATATAATATAATATAGGGGGAAGAAGAAAAAAAAGGGGTGGAAGAAGTATGAAGTTGGAATTTTCCAGTTTATGAATCAGCAACCCAGTGATTGAGTTGACCCTCTTCTCCACCCTTTGCGCCACTTTATGAAGGGGTTTGGAAAAAAGATTGAGGGTCGCGCACGCGTCCTTTCAATTGTGAGGTGCTGCAGGCGCACGTCGTCTCGGCAAGCAACAGAGTGCTGTATATCCCCGCCCACGTATTATTCGGCGTTATAACCACGTTTGTAATCAAACATACCCAAAGACCACGGGGACTTCCTGGCCGATTGGATAATATGCATCATCAGCCGGATTTCACTGGTGTCTTCCTCGAAGATTCAAACGACCCAACGCACTTGTTGTTCACCCTCTAACGGGCGAGTATGATTCTGGCTGGATCAGACCATTTCATTGCGGGTAAGTCCACTCTCTCTTAACACCATATCTCCCTCAATAAAATATATGTCCTCACCTAATTTCCTGAAACGCAATTAAAAACATTATCAATCAATTTTCAATTTTTTTTCACCCCCTTTTTTTCCAATTTTCCAAAAAAAAGAATTTTCTACTCCAAAAACACTTGACACCATTTTTTAATTTTTCACCCCATTTTCATTATTAATTAATTACTTTACTAATCCATTAATCATTTAATTCCACTTTGAAAAATTCGGAAATTTTTTTTTATTTTCTGTAAAGAATTTTTATTTTGAGTTCAAGTTCAGAGGCGATTGAACCTTGAAGAATTATTTTTTTTTTGGGAACACTGATGATGAAATTTTTGATTTTGAAAATATCAAAATTTTCTATTTATCATTGAGAGAAAAAGAGTGGAGAAAGAAAATGTTTTCGAAAAATTGCATGAAATTGAATAATGAAATTATTTCATTTTGATATCAATATATTCTACGTCAGTTCATTCAATATTAATTCGTATATGGAGGGAATTTCTAGAAGGTTGAGAGATTGCGTCGTAACTTTTTTTTTCATCAAAAAACTTTTCCAAGTTTTACCGCATGTATTCAATTATGTCAATCGAGTTAATTGATTTAATCACTTTTTGAAAAGTGGAAGGAATAACAAATTACGTTAAATTTGCTTTTCAGTGGAAAAGAAACGCAAAATTAAAATACGTACAATATTTTGAATAGAAAATTAAAAAATCATTTTTTGAATTTCATATAAAATTAAAAACTAATTTTTTAAATTCCATACAAAATTAAAAAACCAAGTTTCTAAATTTCATAGAAAAATAAAAAATCGAACTTTTTTATTTTTCATAAAATAATTGTAAATATTGCAATTGTTAATTACGAATACAATCGCGAATTATAATTATAATCGTAAATTATAAAAATAATCCTAAATTGTAATTTTAAGTTAGAAATATTATAAATATAAATTGCAATGACAATTATAAATAAAAATTATCTTGATATTTTGCAATCCTTTTTCCGTATAAAATTAAAATAAGTAAAAGAAATACATAAATAATACAGAAACTAATTAAATAAACAAGTGATAAATAATAAAAAATAAATAAATAAACAAGTGATAAATAATAGAAAAAATTAATAAAAGAATAAATAAATAATAAAGAAAATAAATAAATAAACAAGTGATAAATAATAAAAATTAAATAAATAAACAAGTGATAAATAATAAAAAATAAAAAAAAAAATTAATAAAGTAATAAATAAGAAACTTAATGAAAAGTGAATTGATTTTAACTGAAATGAATTGAGGAAAAATTGAGATTGAAAAATAAAGTTACAGAGAGCAATCTTTTTTCTAAGGAAGGGAAAATAATATTTAAAATTTAAAAGAAGACTTCGTGCGACCTATTTCAGTGCCAGTAGAAACGACAGCGTTTCTGGGTGCCTGTGCTGGTTTCGTGACTCTTCTGCTGGTTGTGGTTCTGTACTTGTCGCGCAAGTGGTGCTTCATACCGCCCTCGTCGACGACACTCTTTGGCGGTGTCTGCGTGCCACTTTGCGAGTCCAGCAACAGCTCCACGTCCCAGCCCAACAAGAATTTAGGTACGATTCTAGAAACTAAAAAAAAATAATTAGCAAAAAAGAAGAAAAGTACTTAACAGTAGGTGAGAAAAAAATAATGACAAAAAAAAAATACTCTTTCTGTACAGATCTTTTTAATAATGTCTCCACACACTTTATTTTAATCACTTTTTTCCCAAGTTATTATTATTATTATTATTATTATTATTATTATTATTATTATTATTATTATTATTATTACCAGAAATTTTGTTAATATTAAAAAATATTTTTATTGCAATTAATTAATTTTTTTGATATAAAAATATTTTCTTTAGAATTAAAAAATTTGCTTAGTATATTAAAAAATATTTTTTCTAGAATTAAACAATTTTTTTAATACTAAAAATTGTTTTCCAGAATTAAATAAATTTTTTTTAAATTAAAAATATTCTTTTTGTAATTGAACCACATTTTTAATATTAAAATATATTTTTTCATAATTAAACCATTTTTTTTAATAAAACAGTTGTCGCAGAAATTCAATTATTTTTATAAATAATAATGTTCTTCGCATGAATTCAATTATTTTTAAGAATAATTGAATTCTTGATAAGAATTCTATTAAACTTTTTAAAAATAATTGAATTCTCGCGAAGTATTTTATTATTTATAAAAATAATTTAATTCTTGACAATTGATTAAAATTTTTTTAAATAATTGAAATCATTCAAGAAGTTTTATTGAAATTGCATTGACAATAATTGAATTCTTCCAAAGAATTCTATTATTTATGAACATAATTGAATTCTTGCGAATTGATTAACGTTTTCGAAAATAATTGAATTTTATTAAAAATTTTTGAAGATAATTGAATTTTTAAAAATCTTTTTATTAAAATTTTACTGAAAATAATTGAATTCCTGAAAAAAAAATTTTCTCTAATACTCAATTATTCTTAATAATATTTGAACAAAATTTCTCGAAAGAATTCAATTATTTTATAAAATTTCCCAAAAAAAAAAGATTAAATAAAATTGTTTGTTATTATTTCTAGAATTTTTTAAATTCGTTTGATTTAAAATAAATTGTCTGGAGCGTAATTTAAGAAAACAAAAAGATCTGCATAGAAAAAGAGTATATATAGAAGAAAAATTTTATAGGAATCTTTAGAATAGTAGTATTTTTCCTGATTAATGAAACATCAGCCAATTCAATTTCTTTAGGAAAACCGTTTACCTTTTCGGATCCGGAGACAAGCTCCGATTCCGAAGAGGACGCACTGCGCAGACTGAATTATCGTTTGCAACATCCACCAGACACACTGACAATTCAAGCCGAAGATGGACCCCCATTGGGAGGTAAAAAATTCTCTTCATTTTAAATTATTCCATAGAAATTAATGGATTAATTAATTAAATTAATAAAAATAATTTAATTAATTAAATTCACTAAAATAATTAAAATGTAATTTTTTTTCAAATTACCAATTTTCATAGATGTTGGGACCACTTCCAGCAGTTGCACCGAGGATCATTCTCCCGATCAACATCCAATTGATTCAAATTCCGCCTACAATAACAGAACAGAACGTCAGGTAACAAATTGACTAATAAATAATAATATAATTACAATTTGTATCAATTAGAAAAAATAAAAAGTATTGTTATTAAATAATATTAAATATCAATTCATTTATTTGTATTTTTACGCTTTCCTCAGTGACAAAAAAAATATAGTTTATATTTAACAATGTTTCTTCACGATTTAAATTTTATTTTCAATTATATTTGAAGTAACAAATAATTTTTATCAACCATTTTTTGTACTAATTAATAAAAATTGCTTTTAACTTCAGATATAATTAAAAATGTAACTTTAACCAACAGAAAACATTTCCAAATACAATCTACAGTTTTTTGTCTCGTAAGGCGTTGTATTTATTTATTGCTTACGTAATTATTGTCTTCTTTCTCCAGTGTGTAGTAGAAGTCGGTGCACCGGGTAATTCCTTAGACATCAGAGAATCTGATTCTCAAATCGAGCACAATGCATTGCCGGCAAATGACGTGACGGCAATTGGAGTCATTCCCGAAGAAGTTGGTACTTTAGAAGTTGCTTTTCTCTACGATGCTCCAATGCGAGAAATGACTGTAAGAAATTTTCAATTTGTTTTTGCAATTGCAATTGCGAAGTTTAAAGAATTTTAAAATAAACTTTAAAAACGAAAGAATGAATTTTTTAAACTAATTAATGAAAATTCAAATTTAAAAACTAAATAAAAACAAAAATTAAATTTAAAAATTAAAAAACGAAATTTAGAAATAAAATTTACCACCTGGAAAATAAAAATCACTACTTACATTTTTGTCTTTTCTTTGGTTTCATTTCAGAATTTGAATTAGAAGTGAATTTTTTTTTTGTCTTTTTCCAGGTTCAAGTTCTTCAGGGTCGTAATTATCCAGCGGGAATAAATGGCAGTCAAGTGCGTTTAGTTTTGCTGCCGTCGAAAAAGCAACGGCGCAAAACACGAGTACGTCAGGGAACATCGCCGCAATATATGGAGAGTTTCTTGCTTCCTCGAGTCAATCCCGAGGATGTGAATGCAATGGGTGTGAGACTCAGAGTCTACCTTTGGGGCGGGCGAATGCGACGAGAGAGACTTTTGGGCGAAGCTCGTGTTTGTTTCGATCAAATTAATCTTCAACTCGAAACAACTTTGTGGCTCAATGTTCAGCCACCTCCATCATCGTCGGTAAATCATTCCACTACAACATTCCACTTTTGTTAATATTATTTCTATTCTTATTACTATTTTTACTACTTTCTATTTTTGTTACTATTTCTCTATTTTCAATTTTTGTTACTTTTTCTCCATTTTCTATTTTTGTCACTGTTTCTACTATTTTCTATTTTTACTATTATTTTTATTTTATATTTTTCTTGTTATTTTTATTATTTTTATTTCTATTTTTGTTACTATTTTTCTATTTTTGTTACTGTTTTTACTATTTTCTATTTTTGTTACTATTTCTACTATTACTTTTGTTTTGTATTCTTCTCGCTATTTTTATTGTTATTTCTATTTTTGTTACTATTTTTCTATTTTTGTTTCTGTTTTTAATATTTTCTATCTTTGTTATTACTATTTTTACTATTACTTTTGTTTTGAATTTTTTTGCTACTTTTATTATTGTCACTTCTATTTTTGTTAATATTCAACATTTTTTTAAATAACTTTTAAGAAAAGTTCCTAAAGAATTCAATTTTTTTATTTAAAGAAAAAGAAATTTCACTTAAAATATTTCTAAAATTCACTTGTTTACAATTCAATTTTATAAAATTTTAATAATTTGAACAAATTTTCGTAACATTTTATAATTTTGATTCTGAAATAATTTAATTTTTACATTGAAATTTATAAAAATTTTTGAAGTAATTTAATTGTTTTTAAACATTTCATGGAAATTTTGAAATATTCTTTTAAGGAATTCAATTAAAATTAAAAAAAAAAATAATTGAAACTTTATAAAGAATTTTAAGAAAATTCTAAAAAATAATTGAATTCTTCAAATAAACGTTATTAAAATTTTTTTTAAATAATTGAATTCATTCGGAGCTTTTTTTTAAAATTTTATTAACATAATTCAATTCTTGGAAGAAATGTTATTTTACTAAAACTAGTAATAATTGAATTCTTTTGGAGATTTTTTTATCATTTACAAAAAATTTTAGTGAAATTTTTTATTAAAATAATTCAGTCCACTAAAAAAATTTTATTTTACTAAAATTTCTAAAATAATTGAATTCTTTAAAGAAATGTTATTAAAATTTTTAATAATAATTGAATACTTTCGTACCTTTTTTTTATAATTTATAAAAAATTTTATTAAACTAATTTAATTCTCGGAAACAAATGTTATTTTACTAAAATTTAAAAAAATAGATAATTGAATTCTTTCGAATAATTTGATAAAAATTGTTGAAAATAATTAAATTAAAATAAAATTATACTGAAAATAATTGAATCCACCTGAAAAATGTTTATAAAATTTCTGGAATAATTGATTTCTTTCAAGGAACTTTAATAAAGTTTTTAAAAACAATTCATTTTTTCTAGAATTTTTTATAAAAATAAATTTAATTCTTGCCAATAATATTGTAATATTTATGAAAATAATTGCATTCGTTAAGAAATATAATATTTTTGAAAATAATTGATTTCTTGCGAAAATTTTTATTAAAGTTTTTTCTAAAATAATTAAATTTCATCAAAAATTGTATTTAAATAGTTATTAAAAATAATTTAATTCCTGTGTAGAATTTTATTATTTATGAAAAGTCGAATTTTGCCAAGAATTTTATTAGAATTGATTACAAATAATAAAATTATTTGTCAGAATTCAATTATTATTTTTAAAAGTAATTGAATTCATGACTAGAATTTTATCAAACGTTTTTAAAATAATTGAATTCTTACGAAGTATTTTATTATTTATAAAAATAATTGAATTCTTGCCAATTGATTAACATTTTTAAAAATAATTTAAATCTTTCGAGAAATTTTATTGAAATTCTATTGAAAATAATTGAATTCTTGCAATAAATTTTATTTTTCTAAAAATAATTGAATTCTTGGGAAGAATTTTATTTATTGAAATTTTAGATAGGTAATAATTGAATTTTTTAAAATAGTTTTATTAAAATTTTATTGAAAATAATTGAATTCTTGCAAATTTCTCTAATTATTTCTATTTTTATTTCTATTTTTCTTGTTATTTTTATTAATATTTCTATTTTTGTTATTAGTTTTACTAACAAAATTTTCGATTATATTTACATTAAATGTCCCTTTTAAAGATTCAATTTTAATTTTCTGAAATTGGAAATAATTTTTCTGTTGAAATAAAATAAGTTGGTAATTTATACCTTTTTTTCGCGGAGTGTCAAAATTTTCTTTTCTTTTCTAAGAGGATTGACAGTTTGAGATTGTTTTCTTTTTCAAATCTAAGGTCCACGAGTGGGGAACAACAAGCAGTCTCACTCGAAGCGATTCGACGGGTTCTCAACAATCGGTTCAGTCCTACGCATCACCAACGACTCCTCCATACGGAAGTAGCATGAAGGGCGGAAGTGCAGCCGAAATCCTCATAGGTTTGACCTATAACGGCACGACCGGACGCCTCTCAGTCGAGATTATCAAGGGTTCACACTTTCGAGGCGGTGGCGGAAACGACACCAAACCTCCCGACACTTATGTCAAACTTTCTTTGGTCGACAGCAATTGTCACGAAATGGCACGCTCCAAAACTTGCCTCAAACGTGCTCAACCCAATCCTCTTTACAAGGAGACGTTCATATTTCAGGTGAACCTCGTACTTCAAAAATAAAAGATTCAAAATAAAATTTATGAAATAAAATTTTTAAATAAAATTTTTAAATAAAATTTTCTAAATAAAATTTTTAAATAAAATTTTCTAAATAAAGTTTTCAAATAAATTTTTTAAATAAAACCTTCAAGTAGTTTTAAAAAAAATGTTCTAAATACAAGGCTCGAACCAGTGAAAGTATTTCAAAATATGGACCAAAAATAAAAAATTACGGACTATATACGGACCAATTACTAACAAAAATTTAACCAGTCCGAGTCAATTAAGAGAAAATTTTACTTAAAACTACAAATTAAATTTTTTCCTTCACTATATTCTTATTTTCAAGAAATTCGATTAAAATTGTATTAAAACTAATTAAAATTCTGCGATGAGTTTTATTATTTTTTAAAATATTTGCATTTTTCCAACGAATTTTATTAATATTTTTTTTAAATAATTCAATTTAAGAATTTTAACAAACTTTTTGAAAATAATAAAATTCTTTTAAAGAATTTTATTAAAATTTCTAAATGTAATTGAATTTTTTCAAAAGATTTATTGAAATTAATTGAATTCCTTTACCGAATTTTCACCAATTTCAAATAATTGAATAATTTTAAAGAATTTTAATAAAATTTTTAAAAGTAATTTTATTTTCCAAGGAGTTTATTAAAAATAATTGAAATCCTGCGAAAAATATTATTACATACTTAAGAAAATAATCGAATTCTTCGGAAGAATTATTAAAAATAATTGAATTCTTATTAAAGAATTTTAATAAACTTTTTGAAAATAATTCAATTCTTTTAAAGAATTTTATTGAAATTTATTAATTTGAAAGATAATTGAATTTTTGAAAAGAAATTTATTAAAATTTTTGAAAATAATTGAATTTTATTAATTTTAAAGATAATTGAATTTTTGACAAGAATTTTATTAAAATTTTTGTAAAATAATTGAATTTTGGAGAAGAATTTAATTATTTTTAAAAATAATTGAAATTTTGACGAGAATTTTAAAAAATTTTTGAACGTAATTGAATTTCAGCGAAGAATTTTATTACTTTTGAAAATAATTGAATTTTTGCAATCATTTGTAATTTCTCTAAAATTTTCCAAATGATATTGTACAACTTACGAACTTTTCGTCATTTCTCAATTAAATTTCGGACTTTACGGACCTTTTTTTTAAAAACTGACTTTTATGGACTTCAAGCAAATTTACGGACCTAGTTCAAGCCCTGTAAATATAACAAATCGGAATAAATTCGACAAATCAATTTGATCTTCAGTTGTCATTTTATTTTTTTTCTTTGTGTGTCTATAAAATTGCAGAAGAGATAAAAATACTTATCGGTCGATTAATAATATTTTTCAGGTGCCTCTCTTCCAACTTGGAGATGTGACCCTCTTCCTCTCGGTTTACAATCGTCGAAGGGGCAGCATGGGAAAGAAGAGCAAGGAGATGATCGGTTGGCTGTGCCTGGGCTTGAACAGCTCCGGCGCTGAAGAATTGCAACATTGGAATGACATGCGTGCCTCTCGAACACCAACTCAAGTTCAACGTTGGCATTCTCTTCTCCGACCTTGAAATTCAAATCACTCCCAACTTGGTGATAAATTGAAAAATCTTTGCAATGATCCGCAAAGTCCAGAAGAAGAAGAAGCAGCAGCAAGCAATTTGACTATTTCTCCCCAAAAAGGAAGTTGCGAAAGTTTCCGTATACAAAAAAAACTTTGAGCCATTGACTGATGCGAATTTTCTACAATTCGTACTGCCTGAAAAAAAATAACACCCAAGTCAATATATGTCTTTGCTCTCTAATCAGCGCCTATAACAGAAAACAAATTTTCTAATAGCGCCGAGAATATAACTTTGCAAAGTTAAAACTTTACAAAGTCTCGAGAAACATGAATTTTCTTCACAGAGAGAATTTTTTCCCTCTCTGCGAAAATTTTGTCCTTTAAAGAAAAAAAAATTTTCTCCTTCCTCCACAAAGGGACGAGGGAAACTTTGATACGACAGAGGTGATCTGATAGGTTTACTTTGTGTGCCTTTCAATCCTCGAAAATAAAAAAAAAGTCGGTACAAAAAAAAAATTGAAAAGTCAAAAGGTTCGAGGATGGATCGACGCAGTTTTGCCTTTTCTTTTCTAAAGGCAAAACACGTTTTCAATTCAAATGACGCACAATAAACTTCGCATTCGCACCTCGTAAATGCAGATGTGATTGATTACGATTTATCTATAGGCTCTTTAGGGCCACAAATATAATAGCATGAATCCTAAATTTTAATTCGTCAATTTTTAATACCCAATTTTCATTTTTCACATTAAATATTATAAATAACATAAATAAAAAGAATCTAATAATGATGAATTTGTTAACACATGAAAATTGTACATAAAGGAATGAATTGAATTTAAATTTAGGACTCGGGAGCATTTTTTTGATGCCCTTCTACACGTGGATTTAGTAAATAATAATCCGCTAAAAATTCAAGTAAAAATAAAAAATGAAAAACAGGCAAATTAATAAAATTAATAAAATTAATAAAATTAATTACACATATTAAGGATACCTTTAGAATCGCATAGCTAAAAATGAAGCGACTGATAATGTACTAAAAAAATAAAGAAAACGGACAAGCGAATTCTGAATAATCTTCAAATATTAAAAACATTCTCGAACCGAAAATCTTTTCGATACGTTAATATCTAAAATTGACATTTTCAAATTTTTAAAAAATTATTAAATTATCGTCGCAAAATAATTGTTCACAAAAAGCAAGTGAACAGCTTCAAGTCAAAGCGTATTTTATAATTTTCGATAAAATTGATAAAATTTTCATGTTTCTTTTCGAAAAAGCACAAAAAAATATTTTGAAAAAAGAATTCTTTCTAAAAGCTTAATATCAAAGTGAAGAACTAAAATACCCTTGAAGTATTCTTATTTTTGAATTTCTTACAAAAAATCTTAATTTTAAACCAGTTTTTGAAAGATAAAGCATATCCTAAATAGAATTTATATAAATATTTTTTATTGTAGCAAAAGCACAGTGAATTATTAAAAAAAAATTTTTTTTTAGTTCTAATCATTATAAAATCTTGGACTTTGACATTTTTATCTCAGAAAAAGAAAATACTTTTTACATCGAATATCTATTTGTCCTATTATTGCCGAGTTTCTCCTAAAGCACCTTTTTCTCCATTAAGCATTTTAAATTTTTGAACGTCTACTGCACAAAAAAAGTAGTTAAATTTTGAAGAAAAAAAAATCAATGTTATTTCGTAATATTACCAAATTCATAAATAACTGTATCTGTGGTGTTTTATAAAAACGTGTAAATCTTCAGTTACAAAAATAAACTTACAAGATAAATAGTATTGTGTATTTGAAAATTCTTTTTACCCATCGATAAAATTTACAGGCTTTGCACTCGGTAATAAGAATAATCGGTGCCTAAGAATTTTATTGAAATTTTGAAGAATAATTTTTTGATTTCAAGTATTAGCGAATTTAAAGTAGTGCAATTTGGAAAAAAGTAATAAGTAGCTTTCAGTGGCACAAATCTAAAAAAATATCCAAATAGTATCAAATCGTAAAGAAAGTTGTAAATAGTAGATTTTGGTAGACGAGCGCAAAGCCTGTATGTAAAAAAAATATGTAAATCCTGATTTTTTACTTGAGAAAAAAAGAAAGGAAAAAAACTCACAAATCGCTAAAGGTATTTTTCCATTAATTCCTGTTTTTTCTTCAATAAAAGGGCTTCCTGCATATCTTGTCGACTAGGTATTTGCTTTTGTGCCGTCGTCTCATCGTCCATTTCGACATCCTCCGTCTCCTTATCCTTCGATTCAATCCAGTCGTCTATTAATTTTTTCCTCGCCTTTTTCTCTATTCTCTCCTCCAATGGATATAGAATTCCATCATCGTCGTCCCGATAACCATAATAATCGGCGTCAATATCTTTCATTAATTCCGCCCTCGTTTTTCTCGGCGGTGGCGGTGGTTCCTGCTCGAAAAGTTCTCGAACTCCAGGCAATTCTTTAGCGGCACCAAAATATTTATAACCCTTATTTCCCGGAACCTGGAGAAAGAAAATTAAACGTTAATTTTGTCTCTTGACAAATTATAAATAATAATTGTGACTCTTTTGTGGCCTTTGGAACAAAGGTCACAAAAAAGTCACAATTATTATTTATCTCCACTTAAGATCCTTCAAATAAATTAAAATTATAATTTGTAATGAAATATAAATTGAAAAAATTGTAGTTAAAATTTTCGTTTTTAGAATTTTTCAATTACTTCTCGTCCTTCGTGATCCAACATTCGAGGTCCAGTCCGTGAATAATCGGGACCGCCTAATTCTTTAATTTGCGCCTCCCAGTGACGTTTTTCTCGTAACAATTTATTAATTTCGTCATTTAAGTCACGAATGCGAAATTCACCGAGACCAGCATTTTGAATTTGTGAAACTTTCTTTGCAATTTCGCGAATAATTTGCGAACGCCATTTTTCACATTTTTTAAGATCTCGACATTCTGATGCCAAGAAAGGACGTCGTTCTTGATCCTTTTTACCACCTTCAGAACTTGCTGCTCGCCAACGAGCAAGCGTTGTCCTAAAAGTGAGAAATTGAAAACAAAATTATAAAAAATTCAAAAGTAATTAAAAGTTTAAAAAAAAAACATGAATTGTGTAAATTTCGATTAATTTCTATACTTACATTGCCTTCTCTGCATTTCGAGCCTAGAACACATAATTTTAATAAATTTTTTTTGTTTACGAAAAGTAGAGTAAACTTCATATTATTAATAATATTGGAATATTAAACAAATTTCTTTTCGTTGATCAATGTTGTGGATTTACCACGTTGAAGTCCACAACTATCAACAAAAAAAATTGTTCACTTAGTAAATTAATAAAAGAACACAGCAATATTGCCACAAAAATATTTAGAAAAAAATAGACTGATGTTTATGTTTTGATAATAATTGTTGTACAATTAAATATTCAATTAATAATAATATTGGAATAGTTAAACAAATTTTTTTCGTTGATCAACATTGTGGATTTCAACTTATTCGTAAATGATTCGTGTTTTACTTGATGTATTAAAAGTTTATAAATAGAAAAGATTTAGTAAATATATCGATGTGTACTTACCATTTTGATTAGTATTCCTTTTCTGCAATATTATTTTAATATAATTAATATTAATTAATAATTTAATACAGTAAATTATGTATAAATAAACACTTCGTCAGCTGTCGTTTAGAACAGAACATGACATTTTGGAGGTTATGTTTTTAAAAAGGCGGTGAATCTTGTTCGTTCACGTCGTTCGACAGGCGGCAAAATTTGTGAAAAAAGTTTACTCGTCTAGTGCGCCTACAAAACGTCTCCGTATATTCACTATTCCGAATAGATTCACAAACTATTTGCGGATAAAATCTCCGTTTATCCAGACAATATAAAAACAATTAACTTTTACTTTAATTTCTCAATAAAACTCACGAAAGAAAAGCAAGAAAACTTTTTACCACTTTTACATACTGAATGTATGTACATTGTGAAGTAAGCTCAGTTCGTAATACACAGAGGTACCAACTGTTGAAAACGAAATCAAACTCGAATCGAAAAACATCTTTTTAATTGTTTTATTCATATCTAAAATCTTTTATCAGCTAACAAAACAAATTATTAATAGTGTTACTAATTACTAAGTAATGAAGAATTAAAAACTGTATAGAGATAAATAAAATTATACAAATGCAGCATTGACGGGAATATAAGGAACTAAAAGTTGTAGATAACTTACCGACTGAATTGTTTACTGTCGGTAACAATTCTTGAATTTGGCGGGAAAACAGCGCGGTCATTCACTTCCCAGTCATGGCACGGTCGCCATTTGTAATTTTCTGTTCAAAGTGTTCAGACGTGAAATATAAGTGAAAAGTAACGCGCAATTGTTAAAAGTATTAAAGTCTATTGTAATAAATAAAACGATAACAGGAATCTTTGAGCGACATAATCAGCATTTCATCAAGCATCATCAAGTGAGTATAATGAAATATAATTACAATATGCATATGTTTCGGAAATTTTTTTTCAACTTTCGTCTATAAGCGAGCGACTTCTTTGTTCTTGTCGCAAGAACAATATTAATATCAAGTTATCGTATCTTTTAAATTTTGCATTCTACTTTTAATGAATATGAAAAATATTTAACGAAATTTTCAAACTTGTCATTTATAGGTTATGTTCAACTTTTTTCCGTTTGTTAATAATTAATTAATTTTAGATTTTAGTTCACAAATTGACAGAAATAACGCGAAATTGTAATTGATTGTTGAGCGCAGAATTGAAAATATTTATAGTATATTTTAAATAACAAGAATTAAAAGCGAATTACTAAATAGAAACAATTTTGTTGTTTTTGTTTAACTATATATTTTTTAGGTTTCTAAAAGAAAAATATTTTTTATGTAAAAAAAAAAAATTGGTTTAGAAAAGAATATTAATTTATAAATAGTTATTAATTTATAGTTGTTTTTTTAAAAGTTGTCTAGTAGCCTAGTAAAAAAGTACAAAAAAAGCCTAACGGAAATACAGAGAACTAAAAGTTATAGGTAACTTACCGACTGAATTACTTACAGTCGGTAACATTTCCAATTCACGAAAACAGCGCGGTCATTCACTTCCCAGTCATGGCACGGTCGCCATTTGCAATTCTCTGTTCAAAGAGTTCAGACGTGAAAGTGAAAGTAGTGCGTAATAATTGAAATAAGTATTAACTACTGTAATGAATAAAACGAGAACATGAATCTGAGCGATAGACAAATTTTATTTCGTCAAGTGAGTATAGTGTAATGTTATAACAATGCATAGATTCGAAAAAATTTTCTTAACCATTGTCGTCGCGACGACAAAGGCTGTCGAAAAAAGAATATTAATATCGACTTATTATTACTTGCATCTTTTAAATTTTAACTTTTAGTGAATATTTTTAAACAAATCTGTTTTTGTCTATTGAAAAGGAATATTAATTTATCAATAGTTTTCTAATTAGTCGTTTTTTGAAATTTGTCCTATTTATCGCGTATTAGTACAGAAAAGCCTAACGGGAATACAAGGAACTAAAAGTTGTAGGTAACTCACTTACCGACACTACTGTCTTGTGGACTTCCCAGGCAGAAGGCACGGCCGCCATTTGCAATTTTCTTTGTCAAAAACGAAAGTTTAATACGAAAGTACATAATTATAAACAGTATTAATGTTGATCGTAATAAGTAAAAAAATATCGTAATCTTTTGAAACTTTTCACTGAAGTGATTCTAATAATCATTTCAACAAGTGAGTATAGTGGAATATATGTTTTGACAATGTGCATTGTTTCGGAATTTCCTCAAACTTTTGTCGTGTATAATGTATTTCAGTGACAGGTTTATTTTGTTTTTAATCAAACAGCAATATAAATATCGAGTTATTTATTACTTGTATCTTCTAAATTTTACAAGATTTTTATACTTTTAACGAATACAACGACTATAGGACGAAATTTTCTGACGTGTTTTTTATAGGTTATGTTTCAGTTTTCTGTGTCGTATCTTTTTTTTTTTTGATAGAAATAGTATTTATTTATTTTAGTATATAACTAAATATTAAAATTTTTTCTTTATTTTTGATACAAAAGGAAATCGACGAAAGTATAAAGAAAATAATGTAATTATTTTTACAGGTAAACCAAACGTGTAAATAGTTGGAAATTGGAAATAGTTGGGAAAGAATTTGGAATTCTCTGGTTTTGGGTGAAGGAAATACTAACGAGAATCGGTGCAGAATTTCAAAAACAAGTGAGTGCATCTATTATTAAATTCTTATTATAAATTAATTATGAATTAGTAATAAATAAATACAATAAGTAAAAAAATTAATTAATTATAAAAAAAAAATATTATATATTAATTAAATAATTAAAATTAGTCGAAGTAAAATCAAATTAAATAAAAAGTAAAATGAAATAAAATATTAAAAATATTAATATAATATTATAATTATAATGATTATACATAATATAATTAATATAAATAATAAATAAAAAATATAAATAATTAATAGTCAATAACTAATAAAATAAAAAATATATCCAAAATAAATAATAAATATATTTTTTGCCTCTTGAATTAAGAAAATCCCCTAAAACACAAAATAATTGAATTTAAAAATACCAAATTATTTTCTTTAAAAAAAAAACTTCTAAAATTTAACATTTTTTGTGAGAAGAGTAAAAAAACAAATTTTATTCAGATTGGACAGAATGCATTTATTTTATCTTTAGAGTAAATAGCGAGTTAAAGTAGATAAAATATTTTAAATAGTAATCATACAATTTACTATTTTTTATATTATTTATATTTCTTAATTCTTAATGCTCTCTTAATTTTTAATCCTTTTTTCAAATTTATTGACGCTAGTTGACTTCTGGCGATTCTGAAATGAAAAGTATTTGCAAATTTTAACGAATTTATAATTAATAGGAAATTAAATGTTTGAAAATATAGAAAATTATTGTTCGATTTTTGACAAAATTGGTATTTAATTAATTATTGTTTGCAAATTATTATTGAAATGCAAAATTTAATTTACCTTCATAATCAAATTGATTATTATTCATAGCACAATGTGGGAATAATGCACCAACACAATAATATTGAAATTATTAGAACTGTCGCGAAAGCTGTCCAAAAAAACCAAAAGAGAAATAATCGTATTTTTATCCAAAGTGGTCCAGCTGTATAGTATCTCAAATCTTCATTTGTCAATTCTAAAAAGAAATTTTAATTAAAAAAAGAGGTTTTAAATTTCTATCTTTTCTTTTGTCTTTACAAAAATTAATAATCTGGTAATTTATTGAATTTCAATTAATTAGTCAAATTGTACTAATTAGTATTCAGCAAACTATCAATCAATAGTAATTCTATAATATAAAAATAAAAAAATAAATAGTTCTAAAAAAATAAATAATACTAAAAAAATAAAGTTGAAGAAATAATTCTAAAAAATAAATAGTTATAAAAAAAGTAAATAATTCTAGAAAATAATTTATAATTAATTTAATTAAGAAAATAATTAATAATTTAATTAATTTAAGACGCTTTTTCGTTCTTTTCTTATTTTTTTCTTCTGTAATTCTCGGACAAATAGAATAATTAGATAAAATATTTTTCTTTGTTTAATTTATTTTTACTTTTTTTTTAATTATTTACCTTCTTGTAATTCTTTTTCATAACTCGAATTTATCCAAAGGGATTCGAGACGCGATTTGGCAAGTAGACAAGATTCTTCCTTTGGAATCATTTTTCCATAACAGAATATATTTATTTTTTACACTTTTTTTTTGTTCGTCAAATTTTCACATACAAAAACTTTGAATAATTTGATTAAAAAATTTGAATTACATTTATTTCGGGTGTTTTTTTATGGAAGTGTAAAAATATTATTCAATAATAATTTGTCAGCGTTAATTTTTTCTTCAATCGAGACGTAATAACACAGTAAACTTGATTCTTGACACGAACATATTGGAAATGATAAAAGTTCTAGTTTAAAATGAAAATAATCATTGTTTTCTCTTTCTACAGTCTTATCTCTGAAAGACGTAGAATTCTATAAAAGGACGCTTTCTTTTTTCGAAATTATTAACTTATTAATTATTATTTTTATTTTATTATTATTATTATTATTATAATTATTACTATTTTTATTTTTTTAATTATTTTTGTTATTATTATTAATATTATTACTATTTTTGTTTTTAATTTGTTGAAAATTGTACTTGATTGATTATTCGAAAATAAATGTTTACAAATAGAGTAAATAAATTAAAAAATAGAATTTCACAAACTTTTTGATTGAAAAACAAATTTTTTACAAAATCGTAGAACTTTGGTTTATTTTTTTTTCTAAAACTTTTTACCGGAAACAAATTTTTAAAGTAAAAATGAAGGGAAATAGATTTCTTTACAAAAATTTCTTATTCTGACACTGGATGATTTAGAAGTGAGACAAACTTTTGCTCGATCCAAGAATAGTGTAGAAAAATATTAATTTAATGCAAATAGGACAAGTGTCAACTGTCTGGATTTTTTTTAACTTCAATGTTCCAATATAAGAAGTCTTTATTTTAATCGCGTGCGACTTAAATATTTAAAATTGAATTTTCATTCCATCAAAATTGTTTATATTTTCATTTATTTTCTTGTTCTTTCTTTTCTTGTTTGAAATTTCAATATATTTTTTATAATTTTTTTTATTTAGAATAGAATAGAATTTATTTGATTGATGTTAAAATTATTGTTTTACATCTTTGGGAGCATATAATTTTTTTATTTTTCTTATTAAATATTTATAATTTCATTATTATTTTAATTCAATAAAATTTAAAAGTTAATTAATTTGTATAGTTAATACTTACAATGTCAATTAAAAGTTACGAAATATAAAAAATAGAATCCAATAAAGTGTTAATTGTTTTGGAAAAATAATTGTTGCGCCGCCTGTTTCGTATTTCCTAACGTGCTGATCACTGTTTTCAATTATATCTTCCTGAGATTTATTATCTTCGTTAGAAAGTTCATCATCTTTTTCTTCTGGAAAAAGAGAAAAGTAAAATATTATAGACATTGATATAAAAATAAATTTTCTATTTTTATTTGCAAAATTTATACAAGTTCTCGTTTTGAATAAAAAATTTATAGAAATTTTTGTTTTGAATTAAAATTTAAAAAAATTAATATAAAACGTTTTGAAAAAAGGACAAATATTAATTAATGATTTACCAGAAATATTTTTAAAAAAACGTACCAAATACGGAAGTCGTAGATTCATTAACATCCGCTCTTCCCTTTAAGACTACCGCTTCATTTCCCGAGAGGACAAATTCACTCTCAATTTCCGCCCTGTTAATTATTATTATTAAGAAAATTAAATAGTAAAATTTTATCTATTTCATTTTTATAATTAAAAAGAATTAATTTTGAAATATTTTACTAATTTTTTTAAAAAGAACGTTAATTATTAATTTATTGTTATTTATTATCATTATCATTATCATAATTATTATTCATTATCATTGCCATATCATACAATTATGAATTAAAATATTTTTATAAATATGATTTTATAATAGTGAAATAAATATTCTTACGTATCGATGTCAGGATCAGTAGAAATTACTACATCGAAAGTGTCCTCGAGTTCTGGATAAAGTTCTGTTAGGTTTATTGTTTCATTAAATGATTCCAAATTAATAATAGCAATGTAAGTTGGATAACCTTCCAAGAATCTAAAAAATGAATCGCTCAATTTTTGTATTTAAAGAAGATTACTTCTCACGTCCTCAAAAATTATTTTCGGGACGTGAGAACAGCACATAAAGTGCAGTGGAAGAATAGATTTTGGAATTTATCTCCCTTAAAATCTGTCTTCTGATTAAATTAGAATTCCTGAAAATAAGATGATGGAGAAATTGAAAAAAAAATTTTACTTAAATACCTTTTGAGAATCAAAATTCTATTTTCATTCTGACTCTCCACTTCGTAGTCACCATGTGTAAAGACTGGACTTTCTTTTCTTAGAAGTGCCACTTTTTTATAAATGTTAATACTACTGAATGGCTCTTTCAGTTGGTTCTCAACATTTATTTCCTCGAATAGAGGATTTACAGGTAAAAAAGTTTCATTGCTCAAGGAAAATCCAGCAGAAAGACTTGAATTCCATTGCATTGGAGTTCGCGCTCGATCCCGTGAATTATTCTCAAAATCCTCTTGGGGATTTTCACAAGCCATCGGATCAATCGTATCGTTCCACGATACTTGTGTATCAATCATTGATATCTCCTCTCCATAATACGTGATTGCCTGACCTGGTAAAAGTAAACTTAAAATTTCCAGTCCATCCATATTTTCCTCATTCATTCGACTTGGTGTTCTTGAATTGTCATGATTCGTTAGCTGAAAAATTGGAATAATTTAAATATTCTAAAGGCGCGGGAAAAGTTTATTTATTTAGGTGGGAAAAGTCTTTTGAAAATCAGGGTGGAATTTGGAATTGTTTTACCGGCCAATTGGTGGTTGAATTTTCAGGAAGCATATCCATCCAGTCGTCAATTGCTTTTTTAATATCGTCAGCATCACTTGTGCTGTTTATTGCTCTAATTAGACGATCATTATAGGTCACAATACCAGTTTCTGTTTCATTATCGTAATATGATATTAAACTGCCATTGCCCTCGCCAGAGCTGACAATTAATAATCTGTTGGAAATTAATTATTTTAAGTAGTTAAGTAGAGAAGAATTGTTACAAGAAACATATGTGGGGGTTTAAATTTAATTGTGAGGTATTTTTCTCTTATTTTAGTGCACAATAATACTTCTGTTATTGGACCGAAGTTTACGTCAAAACTGACAATTTTCGAAGTCAAGATTTGTAAAATTGTCAAGTTTGACGTTGTAAACTTTTGTTCCTTATTCTGTTGGATTTATAAGTAGCTAAAATATTTTTACTTTGCAGTCGAGTTGTTTTCTTTGGTCCAGTTATCCACGTGGCTCCAAAATCTGTGTAAGAGTTCTATAGTTCTTGCTTCACTATCGTCATTGTTATCATCGTCATCATTATTTTCATCATTATCATTATTATCATCATCAGCTTCATTTTTGCCATCCTCAAGTCCGGCATTGTCATTTACATTTTCATCGTCGTCATCATCATCATCGTCATCAAGATCTTCATCTTCGAAATAATAAGATACAGTGGAAAAGAAAAAACCATCAACGCCCTTTTCCAACCAAAAATCTAGTGTTTCCTATCGAAAAAGTAATTTAAAGGTATTTGGCGCCCAATGCACAATACCAAAACAATAATTAAAAAAAATTTAGAATCGATAACACGATTCTTGTACCTTTCATTGAATAGATTTTTTTTACATAGAAAAAATATTACCAGAATTTTTTCCACGACGTCCTCATTGCGAAGGTTCAGATCTGGCTCGAGATGATGAAATTTATGGTAATACCATTGTTCTCTAATTGAATCCCAAGTCCAAGCTGATCCATTTCGTTCTTCATCGTAAATACTGGTCTACATTGAATAGTTAGAATTTTTTAGTTTTCTTTTAGTGTTAATTCTGTTATACAGTTGAAGCAATTCGTTTGTGATGAAAACTATTTTTAAATTGTTATTTCAATTGTAAAATGTAATTTTTTTTTAGAAATATTGCTAAAATTATCCTACCCAGTTGTTGGGTTCAATTCCTTCGCCAGAATCATCAAATGTTCCATTAGCCCAAATGTAAAAATCGTCATAGGGTTCGATTTCTGCTCGAGACAAATTAAACCAAGGGTGCTCTATACTGGAGTAATTTGGTACTATGTCTAATATTACTTTTAGATCTGCTTGGGAGAATTGAAAAATTAATTTCGGTAGAAAATAATTAGTTAATCTTTTCTTAGTAGCAGCTACGTGAACATGAAAAATAGTTTCTAATTAAAAAGAATTAACCTCTCTCGTGTGCTTCTTCTATTAATGAATCTATATCTTCATCATCTCCAAGTGTCGGGTGGATTTTATTATGATCCGTAATGTCGTATCCTGAGTCGAACCAAGGAGACTCGTATATGGGATTGAGCCAAATTGCATCCACTCCCAAGTCTTTTATGTAGTCTAGACGATTGATTATTCCTAAAAGTGTTGATATTTTTCTATAATTTGTCAACTTTCGCTTGTTTTTTCAAAGGACACCGAATTTAATTCTAATCATTTTTTCCTGACATAATTTTCTTAACTGACTTTTCTTTATAAACATTTGAAAATTTTCAAAAAATGGATAACTTTTAATTTAAATTTAGCTGGAAGACGAAGTGAATTGAAAAAGTTACTCACCCTGTAAATCTCCCTCGCCATCGTCATCACTATCTTGAAAAGCTCGTGGCCATATTTGATAAACTAAAGCTGTCTCCCACCATTCTTTTTCTTCCAGTTCTTCTGAATTGTTTCCCGTAAATTGTACAATTGTTCCCACGAGTAGAAAAAACCATCTTAAAGTCTGCATTCTTTTATAAACTTTGGAAAATTACTTTTAATTTTTTTTTAAACGAGTAAAAATTTGTTATTAAAAAGAATTAATTTTTTCTGTTTCAGGTGAAAAAAAGATATGGCTTCCAATGCTAATTACTAAAAGGGACACTGAAGAAGTATTATCACATTTTTTGTAAGGCTCCCAATGCAAATTACGAAAGCGGACACTGAGGAGGTATTGTCAAATTTTTGTAAGTACATAAAGATTCTAAAAAATTTAGGAAAAAAAATAAGTTTAAAGGTATATGGCTCCCAATTTATTATAACAAATCGTAATCTTAAAAGTTTTTTACAAGTAGATAAACGTAAAAAACAAAAATATCTACTCACAAAAAGGAGTTTAAAGGTATTTGACGCCCAATCTTAACAAAAATTGAGAAAATTACAAAACTTTTCAATTTGTAACAAAAAACTTAGAAAAGTAAATTTCAAAGAAAATTTCAAAATCTAAGAAATTTTGAAACCATTTTATTCTTGTACTTTACATTTAGGGAGGAATTTAGAAAACATATTTACAAATTTTTTTTTCGAATTCTTAATCCGAAACACTAAACTAACTAAAATTTAATTCCTCGGTCACCTTTGATGAAAAATTCGTTTATTCGGTTCACTTATTAGTTATTTCCGGAATTTAAAAATATTTTTTTAGCCACCTGAGATAGATTTGAGGATATTCGCGAATGAGCGCAAACTACATTGTCGTTTGCTTGCCAAGCGTGTTGTCTACCCCTTCTGGCAGCATTCCTAAAAATTCGTAATGTCAGTATGTGCTAAACACAAAGCATAAAACGACTTTATTTTAAGATATCCACAACCTTGATTTTCAAATTCATTAACAATTAGAAAAAACAACAAATTTTAATAAAAAAAAAAGAAATTAAAATTTTTGTACAGAAAAATTTTACTCTTATGTCGGATAAAAGTTCTGAAAAGTCCCAGATAATTTCATTTACCAAAGAGTAGAAGGTACACTTTCTCATTGTCTTTTTTGTTTGAATCCTTACCTTTGAATACCTTTGAATGTAACGACTGTAGGGAAATTTTCGGTAGACTGTTATAGTTTTGTTCGTGGTCCTCGGAGATGCTTTTATCCTTAATGAATCAAAGTCCTTAATTAATCATAATTAAAGTTAATTATTAATAACTTCGTTTTTGAAACTTTACGAGAAATTATTGGCTTTGATATACCTTAATTAATACACTACCTGGTAAATATAACTTTGTAAATCCATTATCTAAAAACAGGCGAAACTTTTCAAAATTAGCTAAATTGCATTTTATACTTTCGCGAAAGATTTAGAATACATTCCTCTTTAGAAAAAATTACTAAATAAAAAAAATAGTTATTAAAAAGTTATTAAAAAAATAGTAAAATTTTTAAAAAATAGTTATTAAAAAAATAAAATATTTTTAAAAAATAACAAAATATTTTTAAAAAATAACAAAATATTTTTAAAAATTAAAAAAATATTTATAACAAAAAAGATAATTGTAAATTAAACAGTCATATTGTTTTTGTTTTCAACCGTTTTCTCGTTTCAACTTTAATTATGATTATTGGGAAAAATTCAATTAAACAAAAAAGTTTAGAAATTATCCAGAAAAGTGAAAAATTTTTTCTTGTAGAACGCGAAAAATAGAATTCAATTTCAGTTAATTTCCTTGAGGAAACTGCTTTAATTAGTTACAATCTCATTATATGTTGATGAGCAAATAAAGAATGCTTAATCGAAAAGTAACGTTGAATTGAAAACCAGAGAGGTCTAGGAACGTCCCAAATGCATATTTTTCCGTAATTTTTCCCCTTTTCGTATTAATTATAGAAAAAAGGTAGTGTTTATTTTAGAAAAAAAAAATTAAAAAAGAATTGAGAGAGTTAAAAGTTACTTTTTTAATTAGTGGTAAATTTTATTTTTTAATTGGCAGGAAAAAAAATATAATTTACTGACGAAAGAAAAATAGATTATTAAAAAGGATTTTATTTATTTTTGGAACTTTTTAGTTTATTTGAAAATTAAGGAATCTTTCAGGAAATTGTGAGGGGGAATTAGTAAATTTTTGTTTTAAACAACATTTAATGTATGTATATTTTTTGCACTTTCAAGTCATTATAATAATCGCTCTTAGGCGGTTCTCTGAGCTTATACTTTTCATTCGAATATTTTCTGAATTTTACAAATTAAAAGTATTTTAGTATTTTACTTTTTAATGAAAATGGAATTAGTATATTACAGTAGAATAAATCGTTGGATAATTTTGCCTTTTGTCAAAAATACTATTTTTTCGATTGTCCTATTTTGTAGAAATATTTTGGGGTAAAATAAGAATTTTCGGATTGTCGTTATTACTTTTAAACTTTGGTTGATTTTTTTTTTATTATATTTTTCAAATAAGATTTTTTGTTAAATTCAGAAAAAATTCTCAGCTCGTTTTTTCCATTTCCTTTTAACAAAAAAGGGGTTTTTTTTTGTTTTCTGACGACAACAACAGTTAGCACGTTTGTTTGTTTTAAATAAAGTGTAGTCACTCCTTGTTTTGAATGTAGTTTTAATTTTTATGGTGAATTTTTCAAATTAATTTTGCGGAAGGAAGATGGAAAATTATCTTCTTTTTGTTTATTCGAAACAATGAGTGTATACACAGATATTTTAATATTCTCTTCGATTTTCTTTTTTTAATTACTTTATTTTTTAATTAGTACAATTTTTTTACGAGCGTAGGCGAGGGAACGATGCAACTTTTTAAACTTTTTTTTTTAAAGGAACTATAATGTCCCCACACTATAAACTTGTTTTCGTTTTGTACAACGTGATATATCAATATAATTGGAAGATACATTTTTTTTTCATTTAGCCGATAAATTTACTAGGACAATTTTAAAAGTGAAATATATTTTTTTTTGCTTTGGCACCAAGAACACTTGAGATTAATTGTTCGTTACTTTGGTGTTTTAATATTGAAAAGAACTTTATTTTGTTTTGTAAAAAGAAGTATTGTAAACAGACAATTTTTTAGATCATAAACAATTTTTTTAAATACTTTCTTCTTTCTTTCTTTTTTTCTTTATTTTCTTTCTTTTTCTTATTTCTTTTTCATTTCCCTTTTTTTCTTTCTTTTTTCTCTTTCGGAAAAACTAATACTATCTACATTATGATTAAAGAATGAAAAAAATTTTTCACTTTCAAAATTTTCCTTTTGGTTTTCGACAATATTGCAAATCTTAATAACAATCATTATAATATTGATCTCAATACGGATCGTTTTCTTTAACGCTTTACAAAAAACAAAACTTAACGTAACTTCGTTGCTTTAAATATATATATTTATGTTTTTACTTTTTTTACATAATATATAATTTCATTTGTCAATGAAAATTAAAGACAAAAATGTTCTTTTATGAAAAGCATGTTTTTTCGTCTGTACAAATTTTTATAACTAAAAAAAAAATTGAAACGGTTTGATGCGAAAGCGAACTATATTCTCCTGACTAAACATTATAATAGGGAAGGAAAGATATTTATTACTTTTGAGAAGAATTGTCAACTTTTTTTTCTTTTTGAGAAAAAGAATTTTTTTGCGAAAAAGAAATTCAATTATTTACAATTATAAATTGCAAAAAAAGAAAATTATAAATTTCAATAAAATTTAAACCCTATAGTTAATATTACCAATAGGTGGTAATATTAAACTAACTGAAATAAATCATAAATAATTTATTTAAATATTAAATAAATTATCTAAATTTTAACTATAAATTAAAAATGAGAATTTATTTTTTCTAATTAGAATCTAAATTTTAAAGTGTAATTTTTTAATTAGCTTAAACCAAATTATCTCCGTTAATAATTTAATTAATTATTTAAATTATAATTATTAATTATAATCATTAATTATAATTATTAATTAATCATAATTAATTTTTTTAATTAGAATTATTTTAATAATTAATTTTTTTAATTAGAATTATTTTAATAAATTATTGTTTAAATTACAATAATAATTAATATTCTTCTCAAGAGTTATATAATTATATTTGTTCATTGATCGAAGATTTTTTATTTACAATTTTTCATATTATAATAATTACGATGTCTTTTTTAATGAATGAAAGGGATCAGACATTTTCTATATATTTTATTTTTTTTTATATCAATAACATAACGATATTTTATATACATGTCTTAACAATATAATCTACTAGCAAACATTAATAAAGATTATTTAAGTACACGTTTCGCTTTATACTGTAAAAAAACTTCTCGTTTTCAATGTGCACCACTTTTTTTTCTTCTTCTTCTTCAATTTGTCACATATTATTTTTTTTCTATTTATAATATAATCATTTCCCTTCGCTTATTACATTTTCATTTAGGAGCAAAAAAAAAAAAACTTCCATTTACATTTAAAAAATTGTCATTTTTAATTCCTTGCCATAGCTACTTTATTACAATATTTTTCTCTTCTTTATATTATATAAACTTTTTTTAATTCTATTAGTTAATTATAATTTTTTAATAACGTAAATATATATGTAGAGGGTATGGGTATATTTATGTATAGAAATTGTGTTTTTTAAAATCACAAGGGGAGAAAAATGACCATTTTTAAATCTACGTAGGAACATTTATATTTATATATAGTTATCATGCTCTAGGAGCTGTTTCACAATTATTTTCTTTTTGTGTCTAATATTGTGATTTGTGAACTTTACCGTTCTTTTTTTGTTTTTTGGTAATGAACATGTGACGATCAATTAGATTTTTTTTTCTATTGAATTCTTATACGTGGTGTATTTTTTTTTAATATTCCAGGGCATTCTTTATTGCCTTTCTTTCAATTTATGTTTTCATTTTATCAGTCATATTTTTATTATAATGTTTCAACGATGCTTGTCACATGTATTATACGTCACGGCAACATATAATGGTTATTAATTTTTAATATTAACAATAATAGTTGTGCTAATATTTTTGTTTTAATTTTATTAAATTACCATTACAATAGAGGGTATTTTCGAATAATTAATATTATTGATCTGATAGGTGACGTGTGTATTAAATTAAATTTAATATTGAATATTGTATATAATACTAAATATTGTATCTAAAAAGAAATTTTATTTGATTCAAATCACCGTTTATTTTTCTATTAACAAATAAATATTTATTTGAATCAAATTATTTTTAGTTAAG